AATTAATAAATACATGGATCTAAAAGGGCTATACAACACACATTGTTAGAAAAATTCAAAATTCAATTCAGCTCCACGAATCAGTCCCAAATATTGATAAATCCTGTCAGCTAGGGCGTCTTGTATGAGAACAATAAGCATATACAATAGTAGAACACAGAAGATTTCCTGACCCCATGAGATATAAAAGACTGGAAACTGGACACTCTGGAGACAGTAAACAGGGGTCTATTTTATTTTGAACGCGTCTTTTAATTAATGCATTTCAAGTACTCCAAAAATTACATCTCTTTGCACAATACAATTTGATTTTTTTAGTAAAAATGTTCAAAGTGAACAAAAATTTCCGATACTGTATAAAACACAGTGAACATTAAAATCAGACAGTAGTATTACTTTTTAATCGTGTTCTTTCGGCCTACAACAACCTACAACATTTCAAACTCAATTTGGACATTTCAGTGCACGTTTAGCTAAAAACTTTACCAAGACTATGAAATTAAAAAGAAAGAAAATAAATTTTACAGGCATTTAATCTGCTGCTCATCTACCCATACCATGCCACAGAAAACTGACAAAAAAAAAAAAAAAAAAAATCAACTCCATCACCATCACACAGAACTGAAATTTCGGTGGTGAAATCAGAAGCAAAGTTGAGTTCTACTAGCACATAGAAGAACGTAAATAACTTATAGGGAGGAAAGTTTGTCACATATGAACATCTTTAAACAACTGGAATCAGAAATACAAAATAATGAACAAAACGTATCAAAATGTAATCTTCATTTTCAAATGAAATGCAAATTTTTCGAAGTACTGTACAAGTTTACATGTTAAATTTACCCCAGGCATTACAGTCGTGATTCAACCCAGGAGTTGACATTTTAAAAAGAGCTCCAGTTGTAGTTTTACAGATGCAAGAAGTAGAGTGACTATCAAATTCACAGAAAATAATTGTTGAAATTTAAAATAGCCAAAACATATAGTGTCAAGTCCCCTCCAGAGCAAGTGTGGTTATACTACTTGTGTTACGTACTGCATGCATTAAGACATGATAATGAAAACAATACTTTTTGCTTTATTGTCAAAAGTTAGAACAATCCTTCATGACCAGAATCCTTCAATTTTAGTGTTAACTGCCTTCCGGATAAACCCAATATCAGGAAATGTCACCAGAACATATGGCACACTAAGATCACACATATTTACAGTACTGTGCAAAATGAAAGGTAGAATTATGTAGAGCAAAATTATGTTTTTTTTTTTAGGAGGTTTTGACGCTTAGTTTTTACTATTTCAACACTCACTCTAATCAACTTCAATAAATTGCACATAAAAAAATTGTGTAAATTTAAAACTTATTTTTCCTTTGTGGCCATTTCTAGGTACATCATATTTATCACTGCGACCCACATTAAAATAGTACTTTTCTAATGTAGCATATCAAAGTGGGACTAAACACAAACTCTGCCCACAACCACATTTCAAACAGAGCTGATAAACTGTAATGCCTGTAAACTATAAAACAGAGAGGAGAAAGGGCCGGATCTGGATATATGAGGAACAGTGTGATTACCAAATACAGTTAAGTAGCGAAAGAAAAGTGGATTTAGTGTTTAGTTCCACTTTAATGCACCATCCTTAGTTCTTTGAAGCATTTTGCACAGTACTGTAGCTCTAAAGGGGATGGGTTCACAAAGTCAAGCAAAATCTTGTATAAAAATGAAAAACTGTTGTAGTGTGCTCAAGCTGGAATGTGTTTTTGTCCATTTTAAGTTTTAAGATCCAAACATTATCAGCTGTCAAAGTAAAGTGTAGAGTGACATACAAATAGTACAGACCTTCGTCAATTAAAGTCACATTAATAGATGTGTCTGCATGCCCACATTGAAAATCACGATCTGAAGAATAATAGCATGATTTATCTTTTGTACACAAGCACACTGGAGTTTCAATTTATTCCCACACTCATGTAAACTAACTTTTCAACATACACATTACACTAAGCCACAGCAGCCTTCACTTACCCCTCATCTTCAAATCTCAACAGGTAGAATGATCAATTAGTGGTTATTTGTTCTTCATAATCAAAATAAAACAACAAAAAAATATTAATAAAAGACATTGTCCCAAACTAGGCAATCTTCCCTTTTCGTGTTCAACAGTTCCTCTCTAGCTTTACACGTACGACTGGACATGATGTTAGCAAGACGAGAAAAAAGAATATGGGATTGTGAACAAAAAAGGCCCTTAAAATGCAATATAGTGACCTTTTTGTTTCGAATTGTATCTAGCAAAAGTGAAAGAGCTCCACCTGATTGGACACTTTGAGCTTGGTGGCAACAAATGCTCAAAAAGTAGCATCCAAGGAGCTCACCATGACCGTCCTTCGTGTGTTAGTAAGTCCTGAGAGCACTAACGGAAAATAAAATCAAAAAGAAAAACGTGAAGAATTACACATTTACAGTAGAAGAAATAGTTTTTTCACTTATAATACACTAAATATGTACAATCACATGCAGAGGAACCGCCTGCACGAGACACACTGGAGCCTGTGTCTTTGCCATTTTTCGACGAGTGTAAAATGACGAAAAAAGTGCCGCTTATTCCCCGCTGAAGTGTCTCTGTCTCTCGTTATGATGGCCCAACAGAAAAGCACAGACAATTCACCAGCAGCCACGGGCGAGTCACTCAAGACGACGTCGCAATAAAAACAAAACAAAACAAAAAAATCAAAACTGAATAACACATCACAGAATGTACTAAAGCTACACATGATTCCTTAACTCCTTGGCACTCCTTCAAAAACGAACAAAACGGTGGTGGAAAAAAAAAGACGCTTCGATCGCAAATGGCTGACGGTCCACTCCACAAAGAACCAAATTGAGTTTCAGTGTCTTCTGCCATGTCGCGTAGTCTATTGTCTATCGTTAATGGGAGGATATGAAGATGACCATCAACCGTGTCAGGCTTTTTCTTTGGATGGAGTGACGCTGCTTTTGTTTTCCCAACTGTAGGCACAAGGAGGAGCCAAGGCATCGGGGGGGTGGTGGTTGGTGGTAGTAGTCAGAGGCTTGGGAGGGGGAGGAGGGGGTCTCTTAGCGTCTCATCTGGCCCATCTGATAGTTCTCTCTGGGCTGGCGGTGGTGACGCTGCTGCTGCTGTTGGGACTGTCGCGATGGCTGTCTTTGCTGCTGTTGCTGCCTCTGCCCCCCGCCGTGTCCCCCTCCGTGCCCCCCACCATGCCCACTATGGCCCCCGTGTGCGCCGTGGGGGTCCCGAGACTGGTGCTGCACCTGGGAGCTGGAGTGCTGCTGCGCCCGCCGCCTTTTCAAAGTGCCTGAGGGGAGAGGTTGTAAAGGTTAGTCATAGGTGGGAAACTCATTTATTAACATGGCAAAATGCAGGTGTCCCACTTTTAGCTCAGAGTCACACACAAGTTAAAAATGTTTGTAAGAAAAGCTCAGAAATACTTGCGATGGGACAAAATAGTAACAGTTTATTTTACAGATCTCTCACACAGATGTCTACACAAGCTTATGGTTTTAACACAATTTGAAACACTGTTGGGAATGACTTCTCTTTAAAGGTTACATTTAGTGGCAACTATAACTTATGTATTATACAAGCAAAATAATTGCAGTAATACAAAAGCATTATTTAATCAGCATTAGAATAATAAATCTAATTGGAATGAGACCAAACTTCACATTTTCAATGCTGTTATTTAGAAACTTGGCACAAAAAACAGAGATAACTGTTTTATCATGTTACAGTGTTGTTACCTTAGCAAAAACATATTTGGAGTTGTGTTATGTTTCATTCTTCTCCTAAGCTCAAAATACCACCTTGTGATGTTATGACACAATAATTTTCAAGTTAACAGCTACCTTCTACCTTCAGTTCAGACTGGCAATTCTAGGGCTTAAATCATCCATGATTCTAGTGAAGGTGTATAAAGTTTAAAAACACAGTGGAGAACTTCCTGTATTACCACATGATATCACAAGGTGATTTCTGTTTGAGAGAACAACTCAGCCTTAAAATGCAGGGTTTGTGTGTTAAAAAGTGTCGTGGTGTATTTGTGATGAGGAAACTAAATTATCACAAAATAGTGTAATATGGGCCCTTTAATAAAAAAAATTGGAATTCTCACCTGGAAGTGGTTTAGGTGGAGGCAGTTTAGGATTGCTGCTTGGTGTGTGGACGCTGCAAATCTTGATGAATCCAGCCATCAACATGATCAGAGCGATGCCCATCAGCAGCACTGCCCACCAGTGAGCCTGGACCAGAGGAACACTATTAATACAACTACACTTGCCTCTCACAAATTATGCTAAGAACGGCTTGAGTAATAAAACTAAGAAATATTGACTGCTAAACTTAAAGGTGCATTGTGTAACTTTTCAGGTCGAGGGTCCATCACCTGCTTGTTCCTATGGATATGTCACTGCTCTGCCTGAAATGTTCCACAATATGACATTAAACAGCTTTACCTTACACTTATTCAATTACAGGCAGTTTTATAGTTCAAAAATACCTAGAAAAACAGAAAGGCATTCTGAATTGCCTCTCCACAAATGTGACCTGTAACTTGGTCTGGTTTGGTCTCCATGAAGATAGAAAGGTTTAATGTCATACTGTGAAATATTCCAGACAAAGCAATAACATCGTCATGAAGAAAAGCATTTGACGGACTGTTCATCATAAGTGCAATGTGTTTCTGGTGAACATGTTACACAATGCACCTTTAAAAACACTATAGTAATATAATAATAACTCCCATGCCTTACTAAAATATTTGTAGAAATTTTAACAACAAGGAGTGAAACTGGCCACATACCACTATCCACTCTGCGATGTTCTCGTAAAGCTCCGGGTTGAAGATGGCCTTCTTGAGTCTGGCCAAGGGTCCATCTGCATCCACCAGGCGACACTTCATGAACACGTCACAGTAGCCTTTGAAGTCATTACAGGGAGACCCGGCCGGCAGAGTGGTCACCTTCTTATTGAAGAATCGGGCCAGTCTCTCCGACCCTGTGCTGCTGCAGGTGTTGGGGTTCACTGTAAAGGGACAGGAGGGAGACACACATTTTAGATTAATCCTGCTGTATTTTTTGTCCACCATCTGTTTATATATTGATTATTTATTTATTTATTTGTTTAATTAATCATTAAATCAATAAATAAAACTCCCATTAAATCTCAGTCACCACATCCATACACTATTTACGTATTTACAGTTCATGTTGCTGTATTCATACAGCACAGAGTAATGTGTACACATTTGTTTGGCTAAAAGCCATTGTTTGGTCAGTCTGAAAACATTTCATAATTTGCCTAAAAGGAAACTATGAAGCTCCAGGGCATGTATAAAAAAGTGAAGGCTGTAACCCACTTATTTTCAGTCAAATCGACCTAAGAAGCATCAGGATCAGATGTACACTAAACCCACAAAATAATAAAATAAACTTCACAACCATTGAATAGGCCTTTGCATTCTCACTGTGCAAGATATTGGCTGCAACTTTGAAATGAAATAAAAATATTCTAAGTCAGTTTTAACCCCTGCCAAAATAACACTGATCAGTTAACAAAGCTAGTGGTTTCATATACTAGTCTTTACCACATATGAAGGTATATTTTTGTGTATCATGGTGCAGTGACTCACTCTTCTCCATGCAGCACACATGGCAGAGCTCAGTCTCGTCCTTCCCGTCTTGGCTGGCACAGGTGCACGCCTCCAGCCCATACTTCTCACAGATAGAGCCAGAGCAGCCCTGCGGGGACAGGTGATATCAGTCAATGACAGGTGTGAACACAAACTGCACTATAACAGCCAGTGTCTACAGGGAGGGAGACTTTTTTCACAGGGTTCTAAAAATGACAAGAAACATATTGTTGGATTTGCAATGTTACATAATTTTGACATAACATAATAATAACAATTAGCAAATTATATTTTTACCATTACAAATGTAAGACAATTGCAAAACCAAGCATTGCTAGTTGTCCATTTTTTTGCTCCAACAGCAGGATCTATTTAATGTAAAATCATTCCATATTTCATTTGTAAGACTGACTATTTGTTTATTAATTATGATCACTAATTTGGTGTATATAAAAAATTATGTGAAAAAATAAGATGTAAAAATTCCAGCTTTTACAAATTAAAACACAATAGCACAGCCAATTCACTTAAGGTACCACTTAAATTGTAAATAAATACAAGTAAATCCAGCACCACACATTACCCCATTGAGGCAGACTTGGGTCTCTCCGTGGCAGGCCGTGAAGTTGGCTTTGGGCTCGGAGGTGGGGCACTGGGCACTTACACCGTTGCACATGCCCTGGTGAGCGCACTCTGACTCCTCTCGACACTTCTCATTACGGCCCTTGTAAGAGCAGTCAGGAGCACAGCATGGACCCTGGCTTGGACTGAAGCAAAAATATAATGATAAACATGGTTTATTGGCCAAATAAACTACAATAAAGCAAAAAAGGGTCAATAATGGCAGCACTAATAATTTTGGTGTGATTCTGATGTGGTCTCCTAATCCAATCTCTACAGATCTATCTGGAATGGCTCTCGTTGAAAGCGAGTGTTGAAACAAATACTGCAGGTTGAATGGCCAAAGTTTTGTCAAATCCAGCTGAGAGAAAAGCACACGCAGCATACCCATCCACAAATGCAAGTGTTCATCTTAATTTTCCTCTAAACATTGACTTTTCCACAGTACAAGAAACCAGATTTGCACACATACCTGCAGACTTTGCCAGGCTTGAGCTTGCACTTCTTGTTGTCGGGCTGGTTGGCATCGTAGCAGCACTGGTCCTTGCACTGATCGCTGTAGCCACAGTCGCACTCCTCTCCAGGCTCCACCAGCCCATTCCCACAGATGGGCTGACCAGACTCTGTTTACCAAAGCAAACACTCAGAGAATCAACATGGTGTCTGATCTCACAGCTCAGTACCACCAGCAAAACTGGGCTTTAGCCAGGAATATTTCAGATTTTGTTGAAACTCAAACTTTTGACACAATACATTTCTTAATGTTAATGACCAGTAAAAATCCTTAACATGAGAGATTTCGTTTCAATCAGTCTTCTTTATGTTGAGCCTGTTTGTTGCAACACTGCACTTCTTAGACAATAGGAACATTATTGATAGAGTTAGCAAGAAAAATGGTGCTGTATAGAGCTTTTCCAGGAGGTTTATTATTTATTCATTCACTCCCCATACTCTAGCAAGCTACTTCTTTAGCTGCAGCTGACCTGGAGTAGGCTGACAGAAGTGCACCAAACTGCCTCTAACTACCAAAAAGCAAATACCACATTCATAAATAAGCAAAGTTTCTTTCTCAAAGAACAATAAAATGCACTATTTCACAATACTATCTGATGATTGCCCAACTTAATCTCATCACTACCAAATGGTTGTGTTCTGAACAAACTGTTCATTGTCCCACCCAGTAAAGTATGTCATAAATTTGATAATGATCCACTTTGCCAGTGTTTATTTATAAGAACCCATAGAGCATTCACCACCACTTTTTGAATTGAAAAGCCTAAAACCTACTAAAGCGAACCTAGTGAACCCCTTTGAAATAACAAATAAATCTTACCGACAAAGCAGTTGCCCCTCTTCTTCTCCAGGACCTGGCTGATGTTGCGCACGCTGCAGATAGAGAACTTGTTGTTGTTGAGTTTGTCTCCTGACGTGGCCCGTGCATACATGATGTAATTGCCCTTCTCTTTCTTGTCTTGGCTCTTGGATTCCCCTGGCGTGCACTCAGCTCCAGAATCATGCTGTGAGCAAAAACAAGAGTGAAATAAGAAAGAAATAAATTAAAGTCACAAGTTTGAAACCGAAAAACACAATGGCTGGTTAATACATTCATTCGAGCAGTTCAAAAGATGTTACTCACCGGGGAGCCAAAATTATGTCCCACTTCATGTGCAAAAGTGATATGGGAGACTTTGGGTGGCACGTGGGAGGCATAATTTTGTACAGTAATTATTCCAGTGTTGAGAGACTTCTTCTTGCCATCTGAATACAGCTTGCTCTTCTCGCAAATGCCACCAGAGCTCCCTAGAAAGAAAAAACAGAGATTCTTTAAACCACTTGTAACATTGAATGTCAAATAATAAAAATGGACTGTGACTGAGATGAACTCTATATGACCTTTCAATAATACAATAATAATAATAACATATTGTTTCATTATTAAACCTGTTCTAGTATAGTTATGTTGTAATAACATTTCAAAGAACTTTTTTATTCCAAGTTTTGATAAATTAATATAGACCGTAAATGTTCCACCTGAAGTCTAAGCAAAAATTTTAGACCAACAGTTATTAAAGAGGGGGTGCTACTGCTATCACTGCTAACAAATAATATATTTAAACCACCATGTTACCTTTTATTGTTAAATTTTATATTAGTTTTTTTTGTTTTTTTACAATGACAAGACCCAGTCACATCTCCTCGTGAAATAGCACAGCCAGCCACAAACTAACAATATCCAGCTAAACTATATGTATATGGCATCTGTAAGTCAGTTTTCTTCTTTAATTGTTGTAACTGTAACCTACCTGAAGGTGCTCCAACCCAGGCCAGTCCCAGCACACCGTCGTCAAAGTCTCTGTCGGTGAAAACATAGGCCAAACAGTAGTCGTCATGATTCTGTTCAGAGTTCAGCTCTAAAAACTTTTCAACTCCGATGTTTGCAAAACGAAATGGGTTGGACCGGTCCCTCTCATCATTGGTGGTATTAATCTAGACAGGACAGTGTGAACATACAGTTTTAAGTTAATAGAGGATTCAAATGTAAAATGCACTGAAAGATAAATGGAGTATATGACTCACTCGGATTCTTTTAACCATGAAGCTAATGTTTCGAATGCCCATGAAATCGGTTCCCTGATAAATTGCATCGATGGCCTTGACATGACTGGAGATCTGGAGATAGAGAAGTAAGAAAGAGTTATGGGTAATTTACCAAAGAGAAAGATTGTAAGTACAGCTATTTGGTCAAAACATCTATAAATATCCAGTGGTATATGGGCACTTCAGGTAGTGTAGTGTAGTGGGATTTATTTTAAGTCTAATTTATTCATGTTGTATAATTCTTGGAGGTGTATTTGAGCCTTTTTCAGATTAAATGGTACATGGTGTGATGACTGATGCTACATTTGAATGTATGTTTATGTTCTTTCTTCAACTTGTTTCAAGGGCTAAATTGTTAATTATTTGCATTTAAATAGCAAATAAAAAAAAATTAATTCTACAAAATAAAAATGTACAAAATTAATCAACTCAAATTGACTCTAATGAGGTCATGTTTTTTAGCAGTACTGATTGACATCTTTAAGCTGTTTGTAGCAACATTAACTGAATTTTAATGCAGTGGTTCAACATAAATTATTTATTGACACGCCATGAACATAAAAACCCGCATGTGCTTTAATTTGCTAAAGTTGTTGGTTATGAAAAGTAAAGAAAAACGTTATTCCTGCTTACAAGGCTGTATGTCCCTTCTAATTATAGTAGGGAATGATTCACGATTTGCACCACGACGTGTTATTCTAATTAACCTTGTTACAGAGACAAACGTGCCCTGAAACGTGTGTGCGTGGTGGGGGTGTACCTGTGCTATAACAGCCTCTCTGGTTTTGTAGTACTTGAAGAAAAGATGGTCTGTCTGAATGAAGAGCTGACAGGTATTTTTCTCAGCCTGAGCCATCCTCCTCCTCCTCAGCAGCACAGGTCCGTCAGAATCCTCATCAATGTGGACATCCTGAGAGATATGGAAAAAGGTTTAGAAATAGGCAAGATTTCAGGCATCCCTACAGCAGGTGAATGCAAGAGGATGGACTGATAACTGTAAATATCTTTCCTATGTTGCTATGTTTGCTTTTGTGTTGCTGCTGCTGAACTTTGAATTTTCTTCCTAAAGTATCTATCTACCTAGATTATAAGCAGTGTTGCACAATTAACAGCAAAAAATATGCTGTTCTTGATGTCATGCAACCATCACTTGGTATATTCACAATGTACAACTCATAAAATTAAAGCTTGTGACAGTCTTATACAGGAAAATTGTGAATTTTGTATGAGCTAAAGCTAAATTATTTTTTACAATTAGGCAAAATGTTTCTGGGGGAAACTATGCACATCATTATATCCCTGCATATCACTATATTACTAAAACATAATCCATCTTCAAGAATAGTGTACTTTAGTGAGATGTTTGCCACCATATTTCTTCATAAATTTCTATCAAAAATAAATTAAAATAAAAAATAAATTGAACCACAGTTCAGAAAGACTTTAGTAACTACACTTTAGTCTACTTAATAAACTGTGAACAAAGATGTCATTATTGACATATCGTTTTTTAATGAATGATTCGGCATTAGGGTATTAATTATGTAGTTACTAACTCTTAAGCCTGCATTAAAATTAAAGCCTGAATCATTCTGAATAAACCACTTGTTCATATGCATTAAGTGTTTGTTCATGCTTTATTAAGGCTAATTAAGGTGTAGTTATGCTAAAGTGGTATCTGTAGTTCTTGCCTCTTAAATGCGCACAATCTTGTTTACCTTGAGTGGCTCTTGTACAGCAGAGCCCTGATACTTCCTCATTCGCTCAAACACAGAACTGTTCGCACATCCTCCCTCAGGGCCGTACTTATGTGGATAGTCTGAGGCACAAGACACAACACTGTAGGATTATGGCAGATAATGTCAGCCACTTAACCCACTGAGTCACTCTATTTCCAGTACTATTCACGATCAGCTAATGAACGCGCTTACAGCTACTCTCCTCACCCCATGTGGCTGTTATTACTTGGCCTTCACTCTATGTACACAGATGATTGGAAATTACAGGGAACTCTCAAGGGGTATGCTTGGGGCTCACTCTAACACCGTTGTGGTTATATCCTTCAAGGAGTAGTGTGGGTCATGATTTACCATGCTATACACCCATATAGTAGTATAGGCCTGTCATGATAACACATTTTGAAGTGCAGTATATATAGTTTTTTTTTTTTAAATAGACGGTAAACAATAATATTGAAACAAATTTATGCCACTGACCTGACCCTAAACCCTAAAGCAAAATTATTCCCAAAAAATTACACTATGTGTACAATATTGTTAAGATTACATATAATAAATAAATAGCAGATGCTTTAGTAATTAATTTAAATCTATATTCAGCCCTAGAAGTTATCAATTCAACCTAAAATAGCAAAAGATTTACGACTTGCAAAGAAAATGTACACATGAAAATTTTGACCCCCAAAATTACTGTTTCATCTACCATGTATTCAATGATAAGTCAATATAGTATTTATCATGACAGGCCTATCCATATATTTTTACAATATTGCAGAATAAATTACTAGTAATAATGCAAATCATGCTGTTATTTACAGTATATGGAGCAATATGAAAATGTATAGCAACAACAATCAAGTGTTTGATGCCAGTAGAATATCTCAATATTTTATGTCTGAATAAATCTTTTAAAGCATTTATAGTTCACACTATTTATACTATTTACACCCATTCCTAAGAAGCTACTAAGCAAATGACTACCCGGACTATATCTCTACCTCTAGGGGGTTGATCACAGAAGCTTGAGCTAACCCAACCATGAACTTCTCCAATCAGTATTAGCATATTTGTACATTTTCTCACACCAAGCCCATGATTAAAATCAAACTGCCGTATCCAGAGCCACTGAGACTTACGTATGTCGTCCTCATGGTACATGACAGAGTGGAAAGGCACGTTTTTCCCCTGGAGGTATCTGTCGGCAGGCTCCACGTAGTAGGTGCCCTGGTAGCTCTGAATGAAGCCCTCAAACTTGCCATCCACAATAGAGCCATGAGTTAAGGTGTTTTTCTCACCTGGCAATTCAAATTAAACAGTATTAGTTGAAAAAATATTTAAATGGACGCATATTTTAGAAGGCAAACTTTGAACAACAGGGGACAAAATAAAATTAATTATGTGGCCTGGGTTAGTTTGTTACCATCTGAAAATGTTTCACAATCCAAAACAGTACTGCATCTGATTCAGTGTATTGGCCTTTGCTGTACTTTCATGAATTTTTTTTTAAAAATAATACATGATACATGATATTGAATTTGATGAATAATTTGTGTAAATCTCACCAAAAATTTCTCCAGTGTAGATATGAGAGGTATCATAAGGAATCTCTTCTCCTGAGACTTCAACCTTCAAATCTTGAGCAAATAGAGAAGTATCTCTCTTCATGCGCAAGTTAAAATGCCTGGGGAAAATGAACAAAAAACTTTAAAAATCATATGTGAACTTTAAGTTATAATACAGTGCACAATAATCCAAACTGAAAGAAGAGGTTGCTTCTGCTTTAGCGACAAACTGTCTTGTGCCGTAATGTTTGTGTTACAATGTGCATCTTTGGACCACAACACCAATCAGACAGTGGGCTTCAGGGAAATCAGGAATACTCAACAAGCCTTTGAGAAAATGCAAATGAAATTTACCAAAAGGATGAAAGGAGAGGCACATTTAGCAGAAAAACAAAGAGACATTATCTGAAAAGAGAAAGCTACGTCTTTTTAACCTCACAAAAAACAAACAATGAGACTCTGGTACTCAAAATCAGTACAGGCTGTTTTGTATTTAAGGTTTTATTATGTCAAGTCCTCATGGTTTATAACTGCTTTAGGCTTAGTTTAGTCTGCAATCAGAATGCATTCAGTGATTTAGACCTAGTCAGAGATCCTGTTTTAATGATTAATCAGAGTTGGTGGGAAAGTGCACTGGATTAAACCAGGGGAACAATGGTGTTTTGTTGATGAAGCATACGAGAGGAAGACAAAGATGTTACAGTAGCTTTGGTCTCATGTAACACCTACACAGTGGTTTACTGTAAGCGCCAAGACACTGTTTCTCCAAAAATAAGCTTACTTAACAACACGCACACAAACCAACTGAATAGCATAATGAGCAGGATGGTTATTGGTCAAATAACAAAATAATAATATTATAGTTTGGCCTCAGATGGTTAATCACTGAGAATTACTCCATTAACAGCCCCAAAACCTCCCAGATACAGTAAGTACACAATTAAAAATGATAGAAAATGTAACTAACGCCATCAATTTTCAACTTCCAATTAGTTACTTACCATAATAGTATACAAGAAAGTCATTTTAAAAATCACTCTAAAATTGCACCATTATTATCCTCAACAGAACATATTTGCTTAAAATCCCAACAGAAATTTAGAATAACTTTTAGAAACTACTCATGAAATACTGTTGACAAGACAATGTGATTTGTCATATTATAAATTCTAACTTTTAGGCAGAATTTATATTATTGTCTATAAAGCTGGACTGAGCGATTTGGCAAAAAACACAAACATACATATTTTTCTCATTCACATTTATATTTTTGTTTCTAAACCTAAATAAATAAACAAAAATTACAGCATAAATTTAGTCCTCTAAAGTCTAAACTGGCTGTATAGGTCTAAAAAAAAATAAAATAAAAAAACAAATGTGATGATCATTGACATAATACATAAACGAATTTTAATCAATTCATTCAATTGTCCATCCCCATGTAGAACGGAATTAAATTTGTACAAAAAAGAACAAAATGTCTTCTTTGCAAGGGCTCACTGAGGACACGATCTGATATAGAGATTTCAAAAGGACTTAAATCATTGTTTGTAGCTGTTTGCTGTAAAAAAAAAAAAAAAAAAAAAAACTGTTTGGGAAAATCAGGCCTTGCCACATTCACAACGATAACAGCACACGCCAAGATCTCAGCCAGATGGTCCCTACTCAACCACACCACCTCTTCACCAACCACCCACAAAACCAACTCTATCTGCACTTAAAGGAAAAGCACCATCCATTTAGAAAAATACAACCTAGTATGTCCTCACCTAAATTCAACTGCATGTTTACTACATGTGCCACTATTCATACAAGAGGTTAAGATCAAAGCCCATGGAGACTGGTCAAACAGAAAAACGTTTTTTCTTACAGGACTATGAATGTAACTTGCAATGGAAGTGGTATGATAATTTGTGAGTTTTATAAGAAGCAACAAACAGAAATGTGTGTGTGATCAAAATGACTTCAAAACTTCACTGTATAGTAATTTGAAGAGCAAAATAAATCCAAAGAACAGAACAGCTGACATTTTGTAATGTCCAAATGGTATATAGCTACTACCTTGATTTATTCACAGATGTTCAAGAGAAACTATGTTTTATTATATAAATTCGTGTGTGAAAATGTATGGCCAATTTAAGCAACAAGAAAAGACAAACCTTCCATGGGCATGAAAGTCTAAATGGAGGAACTTTTCTTCGTGGGACAGCGCCCTTTTGGCTCTCTGGTGATGGTGGTGCACCAGCTCTGTGTCGTAGGACAGGCCTTCATAGTGCAGGATGTACTTGTTCAGAGGATTTCTATAATGTCCTGTGGAGAGGAAAAAAAACACAGCATTTCAGCATCCTTTCTAAATTAATGAAATAAGAGGAAAAAATTCTGAAACAGTCCAGGAATTATGACTAAGTAAGAACATCTTAGCGATCTCCAATCATATTAGCAAAACACTGTAATCTGGGTGTAACATGATGACACATCTCATCTTGGTAGAAGTTATCTGTTATAATACAAGCATTTAAAGTGTCCATTTTCTGATCTATGTTATAAAGATTCCTCATCAAAATCAGTTGTTTGAATGTTTGGTTTCATTCACACATTAAACACTCCTGGAAATTTAGGTTGAGTTTTTTCCTCAAACAGAAAACACTCTGCTACACCTTGTGATGTCATGTGGTAATGCAGGAAGTGCTCCAATCTGTTTTTAACTCCTTACACCTTCACTAGAATAATTTGGATGATTTCAGCCCTATAATTGCTTGTCTCTACTGAACTAAAGGTCAAAAAGGTAGCTGTTAAGATGTAAACTATTCATTTGAGGATTACTCAAACATGTGTGAATGAAACAAAACACAAATTCATGTTTTTGATGAGGTAACAACATTAGAAGATGGCTTAAAGCTCACAAGAGCCAGTTTTGTGTAATATAGGGCCTTTAAGATAACTTTACAATGACTCCACATTTATGTTAAGTGGCATCAACTTCACTTCAGTGGCTGTCTTCAGATATAATAAAATCCACTTAGAACAATCAAGGAAATTAAGGCATGTACTTGTGCATTGACATGTTTACAAATTCTTAACTAACTAGTGTAAAAAGTACAAAAGGGTGACAATTAAACTGGCAGCTCTGTGTAGAGCACTCCAGTAGAGCAATAAGGTCTCCATAGCTCACTGATTATATTAAAATGGTGTAAGTACAAATTGCAATTCATCATCAAACCAAATGTTATGTTTACTATTGATTTTCCATGATACCTAATTTAGGGTACATTTAGTATAGGCAACTTTTGCCTGCCTTATAGCCTGTTAGTTATATTTTGAAGAGAGCACATTGAAGTAAAAAAAAACCCCAAAACAAACAAACAAACTTGTGCACAGAAATTAGACAAGTCTTTAACATGTAAAAGAAATTCAAAACAAAACCATCAAACCCACCAGCACATGCCTAAAGCTTTGCCCGCTGTTTTCATGTAAACATCCCCTAAGTCTATTTAAATCACACATATGGCAGATTTGGAAACATGCTTAACAACTGGCATCCATCTCTATTGCCATTTTTACCAAACAGTGGGTGGTGGCACTGACGGATTTGGGATTTTGGGCACATCCATTTCACCCAATGCTTCGCGCTTAGAAATAACTGACACATTTGTTGGAAACTTGCATGTAGTTAAAAGTAAAGTTTAAGGGAGATTTATGGAGAAGTGTAATTAACATGTACCATAAAAGGTAATGTAGAACAGGAAGTGTATGTATAATGAGTAGTGTGTGTATTTATGTAGGGCCAGCAAGCTACACATGACTGGTTTCTATGTAATTTAGCAACAAAGATGAGTGAGTACACCAAGCTTGAGCTAGTTCCACTGTTCATGTGTGTTATGAAATATTTAACCCAAACGCTTGCATTTTTCATTGGGGTGACTATGAGAAGTGAAGGCCATGGCATGTTCAAAATGCCCCAAAGTCTCAGACTGTACTGTAGGTACACAAACAAATAAAAACATGTGTGATCGAAGGAGGATCCGCTATTATGTAATAAACTACAGTCTAAAAGTGTTCTTGTCTTTCATCCAAATGCAGCTTTGATAGCAATGTTATGCTTATACTATTACACTTAATTTTAGCCCCATGTATTTGAAAGTGTTATTATGTACATTTTGACAATGAAGACCTGGAACACTGTGTGTAAAATACATGAACAGGGAGTGATACAGTGTTTTACCTGAAGATTAGTAAAAGCATAAGTAAATTATAGCTACATTTACATGAAACTCATCTGATTTCTGACAGAAAATATTGAGAAAACTGCTTCAGGCTCCAAAACACCAACACTAGAAGACGTGAAATCAGAATGGGAAAGGCGGACACGACAGACATCAGGAGCCTTGTAGCAGACTTGTTTTTCCTCTTGACTAAAAAGATTAGAGCTAAAATGTTAGCTAAGAGCTAGCAGTCCGTTTAGCAGTCGGCATCTCGATCTCCTCATAACAATGGCTGTCGCCGCTATTCGCACGGTCACAACAAAACCCACACAAACCGCACAATCACACGGTGACAGCGCGCACAAATAATTTATCATCACTGGCCTGTTTCAGTAATACGCACAAATAAAAGAGTATCCTCGTGTACAGTAACAATAGTTAGACATGAGCAATAGAGCAAAAGGGTGCAGTCTCTTCATAACAAGCAGGCCCTGCTGATCCTTTGCGTTAGCTAACGGGCTACCAGCCTTTCTGCTCCTCTCAGCCGCTTCATGAATTTAACACAACCTACAGGGCTTTCTCTCCACGTTTCACTCACCTTCGGTGTAGTTAAGTAAGTAAACGAAGAGGAAAAGTTTAAGAAGGACCATATCTGACAAATCCATTGTTAGAGCATTGATACCGTTTCACTTTATTGTCCTACTTAGATAGGCGCAGACGCCCTGTGTGTTTATTGCAGCTTCCTCTCATCGCCTCCTCTCTCTCCAGCGCGCTGACGTCAGACGCATGGATACAGGCATCCCTTCCCCCCATGAACCAGGCCCCTCACTCATGGCATCAGAGCTAGGCCTGATCTTACTAAAACACACATACAGCCACACAGCCACACAGCCCCCCCCCACACACACACACACAGAAGACTGCCCTCTCCACAGACACAGCAGCATCACACCTAGAGATGTGATAGATGTTGATGATGTAGGCAGCATGTCTACATCTACATTTCTAACACATAGGAAAATTAATCACACTAACACAACAGTTTAGTTCACATTACTATATAATTTATTCATGCATCAAATTAACAGACTTTTGTTAAATTAAGAGTCAATTAAAATAGTCAAATGTCAATGATCAATCAAAACATTTCAGTATTGCTGCTATTGTCACACCTGTAAAGATTTGGTTTTTCACATTTTTTGTGTTTTGAATTGGGTCTAGGACAATGTAACACATTTGGACTGATCGGTTATTTAAACAGAAGTCTCATTTTTGTCACTTATATGTGTTCACTAGGTCTGTGCTATTTATTTGAATAACAAACTCATAGAGCTTTAAACATTGATATAAATGTATTTTGGTTGCTTAGCAACCAATGATTATAAAAATAGTGCAGCAGAAAAGAGATTCTATGTCAGTTTTTATGGCTGTTTGATCTATTTCTTGTCATGCACCAGCCCTGATTATGTGATGCTATTTAGGAAAGTGGCAATTCTCTGGTGATCTCTATTTAGGAGCAAGGGAATACATGAAAGCACCTATATTACCCACAAATGTGAATAAAATGACATTGTAATATATTCTTTCAGAGCCTCTGATGGTTTCCTTTCTCAGAGACATTTAATCTCCATTCTCTACTACCTCAAAGTTTCTTATGTGACTTTATTCCAGGCGAGATCCTTTAGCTCCAGTAGCAGTCACATGACACACCTCCACATCAGCACCCAGTTTCTGCAGCTCGTCCAGCCAGATTTGCTGTTTCTGTGACAGTCGGTCATTTGGCCCTTTTACCTCCACCAACTACAAAATACACAGATTAACACCTGTGCTTCTGTTACTTAAGACAATAATCAGACTTAAGAGAGCCTCAAGAATGACGTCCACCTTGTAAGTGTTATTTGATGTGTTCCAAACCACTAGATCTGGTAAACCTCCACGACAGTGTCTGTAGTCCTTTGCCATCCTCATTATTACACTGGCTAAGAAAGGCCCACTCAAACAGGACACGAGAGACTGCAGATTAAGACTCTAATTAGAGGTGGCATCTTGTTTATATTGTTAATTATGTAGCGTTGCATACAATACCTGAGCCTGCTGAAGAGATGAAAACCTCTCCCAGCTGACCAGTGAGCACACTTTGCCCTCCTGTGTGGTCCACACGTCCTCTAACATGCTGTGCAGAGTCTCCACAGAGGCATCACAAATAAGCTCGACTCGAGAATCTATTGCCTCTTTTCTGTTTTCATAGAAACAGTCAGTATAAAGATCCAGTGGACATGTCTGTTAATGACACAAGGTGCAGAGAGACAAAATTAAATCAAACTGCATTCATGCAGTGTCATACTTTTCTCAGTATGAGCATATCCTGTTATGTTACCTGATATGGATTTCGGAAAACATCTGGAATACCCTGCATGAAAATAATGTCCCACAACAGAAGAGCAAAGAGCGTTGAAAACGTCGAGCCTTCTCCATGAATCCCTATTATATAATAAAGCATATTTTACTTATGAGACTAAAAAGGCACTGCATAAGAGATAACACTGTACTTACCTTCATTAAATCCCTGCTTTTGATAATGTGCTAAAGACAGATCCTCCACTGAGCATATTACTGTTGCATTAGAGCTTTCATCATTGTTTCCTTTCACGGGGATAAGAAACCTAGACTTCCCAGTACCCCCTTCATGAGGAAAGAGCTGTCCCTGTATTGTCACCTTCAAAACAAAGGCTCCTTTTAGACTAAGAATATAAGAAATAACATTTTCCATTGTTGTATTATATTTACATGTTTCACATCTTGAACATGGATAGTGGGAATATCTCTCAGTTTTAAGCAGTATTTTTTGCAGCTTGCAGAATCTCTCATCCGGGCAGCTCTCTGGTGAAGGGATAGTTTATGCCCTGTCCGCACCAAAGGGTCAGCCAATCCATCTCTGATAGCACATATCGCCTGCAACCACAAAGTGGCAAATCAGTCAGGAAGATACAATGCATTAGAAAGCATAAGCTTAAGCATTAGATAATAAAATATATATATCAGGCAGTAGTTGTGACATTAACAAAATATGACAGACTCACCATAGATAAATGTATTTTTTTGTAGTTTGTTTCTTTGTTTCATGCATTTTTAAAGGTGCAGTATGGAAACTTTTCTTTCTCCTGAGATTACTGCTTTGCCTGAGTTGTTTGGTCCAAATGGCAATAAAACCTTTATCCCCATGAAAGGTGACTGCACTTGGTCAAGATTTTTTCAAGCAATTTGAATATGGACAAAATATATAAATTTATACCATACTGTGGAACATTCCAAGCAAAACCTCTCCATGAGAAAATCAGGTAATGAACCCTCCACAAGAAAAGTTAAATAGTGTAACATGTTTAACATGTCGCTGCCAACACCAATTCATGGTGTTAAGTATTTAAGAAATAATATTGATGAATATAATCAAAACAACTGTAAAAGTGACCTGCTCTGGCTTTTTGAGATGCTGGTGCAGGTTTAGTGCGAGTCGGTCCCACCATCGTCCTCGACTGTCTTGACAATAAACTTGCTGTGACAATAAGGACTGGAGTTCTAGTACAGCCTCCTGTGAATTAAAAAGTAAACATCTTAAAATACAAGAAGTAAAAGTGTCTTCTCTTTCATTTGTAACAAGACCTCATAACGCCGCAGCCTTTGTAAAATCTCCACTCCTCTGGACAGGATACGAGTATAGGCCCATCCAGTGGTGAAGCTGCGCAGAAAGACAGGGAGCTCTTCCTGGTAGCTAGTCAATCAAACATTGAAAGATAAACAAACAGGCTGCATTTAAAGAGGAAATATTTGAAATTTTTTACCTAAAATCCAGTTTATCCCTCAACTCTTGCCAAACATATTTAGCACTGCTGTACAACTCAAAGGCCTCCTCCCATTGGCCATTCTGCATAGCTGTAGTGACTTCCTGCAAAGCTCGCATGGATGCTTCATATCTAATCATTACAAAAAAAATCACTACATATGTATTGTTATTCATTAAACTGTTGTAACTATAAGTTTTTCTCACCTTATAAGATCATCTCTGTCCTGAAAAACTTTAGTGTTGCGCTCTATTGTGTACTCTGGGAAGGCCAGACGTCCAGATTTCACAAGCAGGATAGTGTAGAGTTGGCTTTGTCCACCTGCTGCCATCTCCTCCTCATCCAAAGAGTCAGTCAATGAGAAGAGCAGGAGGACTCGGGAGAAGACAGCTCTTGGACCACGATGCAAGCGAACACAGGATCCAGCTAGGTGTTTTGCCCTATATTATTACAAATTGGAAGACATACAATTGACTTGTATAGTAGTAGTATAGTAGTTGTATAGCCTTGTATAGTAGTCATACATGTATAATCATGAGACCTTTTGAGCATGACTGCACCAATATTGTTTTGACCAGGAGCCACAGAAAAGAGGGACTTCTGCTTGCTCAGACGTAGAAGGCCTTCCACTAGCTGCTGTTTTTGGGTCCCAGAGTTACCAAGGTGGAAGGTTTTAGCCAGAGATTTTAGTTCAGGAGCAGGCAGCAAGTCCAGAGCCTCTCCTAGGTCTTCAAGATCATTCTCTGGGAATAAACACCAACAAATAACGCATTTAAGACAACTTGTTACTGGACTTTAGGCAACAATATTTTGAAAAAAAAAAAAAAAAATCTAAAAATGCAGTTGACTCTTTTATATCTTTCATGTTTTTGAATATTATTGTACCTGGATGACAAAAAAGGACTTGCACAAAGTGTAAGTGTACAAATCAAATTCAATACATTTAAATTGTGAGGGACAATCCCAGTGATTACAAAAATGTGATTCCAAGTAATACTAGACAAGTATTGTAGTATCAATCCAATACTGATACCACTACCTAGAAGAGTTTGACCTGACAACACACAGGGATTATTCAGTTTTTCTCTCATTGGTAATTCTATATTCTTTTATTCTTTTATTGGCTATTCTGTTATTCCCTAACATTTAGTACATATATAACTTTATCTTGGCATATAATAATTTTAAATGAAATGATTTATCTGATCTAAACATTAATTATAATGTACAGATAAACTAAAAAACTGCAGTTGCTGAGAATGAAAATTGTTTTGATAGCTTGTTATCAGTATTAAAATATCAGTACATTGGTATCAATCTCATAAACATCTAAAGTGGACCGTATTATACATATAATCCCATAGTAAATTAGTAAATGTTCATAATATTTGACTTTCTTCTAGACTATTTTAATACATATGACAAAACATTTTATCATATTAGTTGAATAAGCCTTGAATCATTTACCTGACTGAAGAAATCTTTGTTGAACCAGTTCCTGTGCCACTGGTGCCAGATCACTGCTTATCTCATCATAATCCAGTTTATTGACTTGGAGCCATTTCAACTTCCTTTGAAACAGCCTCACATACAGCTTCTGCCCCATGACTTTGAACAGAAACAACAAAACAAGCTTTATATTTAACTATTCATAACTTCATACTCATACTGATAATAGAAAATAGATAATAGAGATTTAGTATACCTGATAAGTTCTCAAATGTGTGTATAAGTGACATATCCTCATCATTGAATAATAATCGATCGTCTTCATTCTCAAGTACAGCCTGAAGTACAGTCAAGAAGTTCCGGAGATAATAAGGCAGATAAGTAGATTGGGAGCTTTCAACTTTCACATCTTTAGATATCTTCTCAGGTTCTAAATCCTGCAAATTATCCTTGATAGGAATAATATTGTTTTTCTCCATTCCCTCAGTGGTGTTATGGGAATCACTGAGTGGTTTCGGAATCATATGTTTTTCATCTCTACCATTCACATCCTTTATAATTGGAATACTATTTTGTCTTACATCTTCAGGCTCTTTATTTTTATCTTCTTCATATTTGGCTTTCTTACAGGTCCTTGTAACACTTGAAGTAGTTTTCCTTTTTGTTAATTTGGAAGACATGGACAAGGATTTAGGAGTGAACATTTTATGAAACATCTCAGTTTTTGGTGTTATTAATACTTCTGCAGCATCTTTCACACCTTGACCAGTATCATCAATGTCTGTCAAATCAATTACACCATGGTCTTGCTTGTCCACTATATTCACATTTTCCTTCTGTGAGCTGCCAAGTGTCTCAGAAGATGTACCTTTCTCACTTGAAGCCATAATTCCATGGTTAACAGTGTCCTTGTGCGTATTATCAGCAACATTACGACACTTTTTTGACAACTTGGAGGAAAGACTTCCCAGGTCTATCTTTCGGACAACAGTTTTACTCACCACTTCTCGTGGTGTGTCTTGAAAATCTGTGTTTTTAAAATAAGGACTAGTCTGACCTTCCTTGACGTTCTCCTTCTGTTTAGGGCTTATGATATCTGGTGAGCTGGGTGGTGATTTCCCTCTGAATGACAGGTGGCTGCTGGGCACAACAGTATTACTTGCTGAGGTGGCACTGCTGTCCTGTCTCTGGAAGTTCTGACATTGCAGATCGATATGCTCATTGATCTTGAATCTTGGTACTACCTGGCCACACAGAGGACAGGCCAGGTTAGGGGGCTGGCAGCTGAAGAAGGAGGTGATAGGAGTTGTACTGGCACTGACCCCAGCTTTTGCATTGCTCTTCTTACTCTTGGACAATGACAGTCGGTTCTGGCGTTTGTCCTTTTTCGGGGTGTCACTCATCTTGTAGGAGGTAAGACCTTTGGCTCAATCAAAACAGTTGTTTCTTCTTGCATCCTCGATGGGCATTACAGATAAGTAGCTCCATGTAGCTCACTCAAATGCTGTTTAGTCAACAGACAATACCTCAAGCTCGCATAATTGATTGAATAATATATTGCACATCTATCTTACATAATCAACGTGAAAGTACAGTTTCACCCTTAAACAAGCTAAACAAACCGAAGAGCCATAGCCAGATTTGCTAACATAAGCGAGTGCAAGCGTAAAAACAATGCAATGTGTAATCCCGCTTCTCAGACTCAACTAGCCGAGCACAGACATTTTAAGAATCATTAATCGATCCCAGATCCATAATGAAAATGTAACACAAAGCAAAATAAAATAAAATAAAAAACATGATAATAATAACAATGTTTTATATTTTTTCATATAGGGTTTCACATTTCAAAAATTTACCGCGAATCATAACTCAATGTTACGCTGCACAACATTATTATTTAATAACATATAACAAAATTAATTTGATTCTTTAAAAAAATGTCTGCCGTGTTAATAACCATGTAAGAGCTACATATGTTGTGCTATGGAGCTAGGTTTGGAGCTGTATTTCATACACATGTTCCTGGGCTGCTGTGCTGCTTTTATTCCAAACCACCACCACCACCATCCGGAGAGAGCCATCTGATGTGACCAAGACGGGCGTATTTAGAGGAAAGGAGGAGGCTGCGACACCGGGCTCATGTTGGTAAGACACGCATGCTACATTATTGTTTTGGACCAGATTTAACAAAGGCACGAAATGTTTCGGCAGAAACAAAGATGTATGATATGCTCCTTCTCTGTAGCCCACACAACATCAGCCCAGCGGAGTCAGCATGGTGCAGTCTGGATGCTAAGAACCAAGGTCGACATGAATTGCTGCAGCAGTAGAAGCCTAATAATACGATATTTCACATGGTTAGACAAACTGAGTGCACAACGCGCTTTCTGTCATCGATGCAAGCTTATATTACAGCGGGCGTACGTTTATCCAATTGTGTAATCGATTTTAGCCAGATGGGAATGCGATGTCCACTCGTGAGGAAACTGGAGCAGCCACAACAACCAGTCCTCCCTGCAGCTGCGGTAAAAGTTTGGCCTAATGAGCTTTCAGTGGGCATCACCGATAAATATTTGGATTGTCTGATCAAATTAAAAGGGTCTACTCCCTATCCTCCACAAAATATTACCATATTCAGAATTCGTTGGTCAAATAAGGAGGGTGTGTTGTCATTAGAGCTATGGCCTTTGCAATCACCATGTCCATTTTAATACAAACAGCATGAAAATAGAGACAGACACACTTGCTTTATAATTGTGTTAATAATAATGATAAGACTGTGTGGCAGCAGGAATATATCTGACTGGTGATGAAACCAAATAAGTTAAGCCAAAAGGAATTGAACTAGGCATATAAATATATTCACCATCTACAGATGTTTTTCATAATTTGCTCTGATGTGTACAGCTCTACTCCTACACACAAGGCTGACAAAGCTTTTTCAAACATGTATCCTCCTATATTATGAAGGCAATTAGAGCAGATTCAACATAGCAAGAAAGCCGATGATGCACATTAACAGCACAATTGTATCTGGCAAATTATTTTTCCAGGGTCAGTATGATAACTGTCAAATAACTGTGTATGCCGTCTTGTGACATTTTAATGTGATTAAATTGTGATTTGCTTTAACATTACACATGTGTTTGATAGAATATTCTGCCTCCATTTCATACCAACTAACTTTATGTTTTCCTTTTTTCCACCTGACTCAGCAGGGAGCAGTAGTCAGACAATGGCCATAACAAATGCAATATTTTCAATAATAATAAATCTGTTATATTTGATGCAAATTCCCCAAATCCAAGCCACACTGTGCCTTTTTGTACTAATTTATAATGTTATGAATTTTTTTCATTCCCAAAGAGAACTTCACCATCTTCACATCTGATTTTATAGCTTTGCCTCCTTTTCCTCTGTGAGCCAACTAACATTGTTGATCACACCACAGTGTTGTACCTCTTTTATGAAGTATAACAAAAGTAATTGAATTGTCTATTTTTATTTACAGGACTGAGAGCAGAAGGCTACAGGGCCAGTAATGGCTCATGTAAAGAGGCCAGGAACCAGTTCTAAAGCTCCCAGTCCCTCACTGTATCCTGCTAGACCAGGACTGACCACCCAAGAGATCAACCAAGATTTTGAGAGGGAGGAGTCAGAATCTCTTCAATGTACTTCAAAAGATGTCCAAAATGATCAGTTGACTGTCCCACAACACCATTACACAGCCCGTGTCCCAGGTCCTGTAGACATGGAGGACACTGGGTCTGAGTATGACAATGTGGGTTCAGACGTGGAACAAGACTATGATGAGGTCCTGCATTTACCAAGAGAGGGTGCTGTGGACATGAGGTACTACAGGCAGTACTGTCCCGAGGAGCCTGGCTATTTAAAGCATCATGCAGTGACTGAGAATATTAATGAGAACAGTGGTGCAGCAAGAGTGGTCCAAGATACACAGGTATGTCAGCCTTCACAACCAGAAACCAAGCCTGGCAAAGAGAGATTAATACAAGCCGGCCATAATTTACAGGCTGCTGCTGCAAAATGCAACATTGTTAAAGGTCAGGAAAATAGCTATTTTTTCACAGATGGAGATGACATAGAAGAAGTTCTAGTTGGTGTAAAATTCATAGAAGACTTGGAAGAGCATGAACAAAACCCTTCGCAAATGGGGGAGGTGAGTGTATTTGAATGTTCTAGAAATGAAAAGGTGGTTGAAATAGATAGAGTATCAAAAATCCAGAAAAATCCAGAATCCACAAAGAAGTCTGATCACAATCACATAAAAGATAGACCAAGTAAAGGGCGAGGGAGAAGAGGTACAGCACAGTGTATGGAACAGAGTGTAGCAAAAGCAGGTAGCACAAATGGGACAGATCAACGTCCAAGAACGGACCACAAGCGGACGAAAGTCAAACCAGGCCCCAGTAATAAGCAACATCCTCCTCCACCCCCTCGGCATTCCCATCCCCCGCCACCTCCACCTGCCACTGCTGCCCCGAGAAGAGAGGCTCCTTCCAGCATAGACAGCCCCCAGCTTCCCAGTCAGGACAGTCCTCCCCAGGCTGCCAAATCTGTCCCACCCCCTCCGCAAACCACTGTAGAATACAGCAAAGATCCGGAGGAAAGGACAAATGGACCGGAGCCATCACAGCAGGTATGAATGAAAATGGACAAACCAGTGATTCCCAAACATTTCCCACACTGTTTCACAAAATACTTGTGTATAAAACCCAGAGATAAACTCGGAACTGGAACAAAATCGGGAAAAAAAACAAGGACAGCATGTGGTCAATTACAAACCTGGACTAAGCCAAGAAAAAACCAGGACATATTTTGGGCATACCAAACCTGGATTAACCCATCTCTTTAGTTAAACCTGACTAAACCAATTCTGTAGACATAACAAGACTGTAGGCAAAAGGCTTTATAAATGAAACACCAGTAAAGGTGACCCCAAACTACAGTTTGGGAATCACTAAATTCATTATATGAATTTGATTTTAATGTTATTTTCTGTTTTGTAATACAAATGTAATATATCCTGTATAGATTCAGGATGAAGAGACAAGCACAGCTGCAACGCTTAAGCACTCACCAGAGCAGCCAAGAAGGCCCCAGAGTCCACAGCCTCCACCACCTGAGGAGAATGGCAGTCCAAAAGTATAGCGTTATTTATTGAGTTGAAAATAAACAATAAAACCAAAACATCTCCATTTATTAAGCTATACTTTATCTTCACAGATAATACAAGAAGCACCTTCATTTCCTTGCTTTGAAGATGGTAATTATCTATAAATATTGATGTCTCTTGGTACTTTTTCTAATTCACCAATTTGCACAGTGTATTTTGTTTTGTTCACACGCGTAGTCCCGGGTCCCTGTGAACCAGAGGACCTCATTGATGGAATCATCTTTGCTGCTAACTACCTGGGCTGCACCCAAGTGTTGTCAGACAAAAATCCAACCAAGTCAGTGCGGATGTCCCAGGCCCAGGAAGCTGTCAATCACATTAAGGTGATAAATCTCAAAAATTAGGTTGTGTTTATGTTTCAAAAGTATATATATTTGCCACAAGGGGGTGCCATTGATTTTTATATCTTATACTAGTATAATATATCAACAAAATGTGTATGTCTTTGTTCAAAGAGCCAGGATGAGGACTCCCATATGATGACAGAAGTGGATTTATTTATTTCTACTAAAGCAGTTAAAGTGTTAAATGCTGACACACAGGTATGGAATTATTAAATCCTAATTCTCATTCAAAATATCATTCATTTTAAGTATTTACACATATACTTACTGCTCAATATTTTTGATGCAGGAGACAATGATGGACAGTGCCTTGCGTACCATTTCATACATAGCTGATATTGGTAATATCGTGGTGATAATGGCCCGAACTCCAATGTCTTCATCTGATGAGCTGTCAGAATGTCCTGTCTCTGCAAAAGAAGGCAAAAATCAGTACAGAATGATCTGCTATGTATTTGAATCCGAGGACGTAAGTATCTGATCTTTACAGTTTATTCAGTAAAATTCTGTGTTCAAATTCTATATGTAACAATTCTTAGATAGAGGGTAATGGCTAATGCTATCAAAGTTAAAAACAAAAAAGTCCCATCATCGTGTTATAGAATCTGAAAATATCTCATTGTATCTCATTCACACAGTATATGTAAGGGGTAAACTTGAGTATGCCTTCTGAATAGTTTTCTTTCCCATCCCTACAGGCACAACTCATTGCACAGTCCATTGGCCAGGCTTTCAGTGTGGCCTATAGAGAGTTTCTCAGAGCCAACGGCATCAACCCAACAGACCTGAGCCAGAAACAATACAGTGACATCATCAACTCCCAGGAGATGTACCATGATGACCTTGTCCATTTCTCAAATTCTGACAACTGTAAAGAGGTGTGGCATGTGTTATTTTACCAAAGGCAACTGAGTGACATTGACATAAATGAGCAGTAATTAAGGACTTCAAATTGATAACTCTATTACACAGTTGTCAAACAATGCTACATCTAAATGTAAGGAGATAGAAGGTAGTAGTTAGAACTTTCAATAAACAGTTCAATAAATTCAAATTATTTTCGAAGTAAGTTTTAGACCGGATTTGGTTATGCTCTTGATTTGATTGTAATCTTGCAGTCCTTGTTTAGATCTGGTTTAGTTCAGACAAATATTTATTGACTTAACCCATTTTTGTCTTGCAGTTATACATTGAGAAGCAGAAAGGGGAGATCCTTGGTGTGGTAATAGTAGAGTCTGGGTGGGGCTCTATTTTACCCACTGTGATCCTTGCTGGGATGTTGAACAGTGGTCCTGCAGCACGCTCTGGGAAACTCAGTGTTGGTGATCAGATCATGTCCATCAATGACACTAGTCTGGTCGGGCTGCCACTCGCCACCTGCCAGGGCATCATCAAGGTACATAGCACACGTCTGACACACCTCCTTACATCAGGTGAATGTTTGGTTGACTTTACCTGACAGTATTGTTGCTCAATTTTGTAAAAACTTAAACAAATTTTTGGGAAGTATTGTGATTAGATTAGTGATTTTTGATATGTTTCTGTTGAGTGTGTGCATTGTAAAAAATTCCATTAGAGTTCAGATTTTAGAGAACACTGAAATATAAACTGATAAACTAATACAAGCATCCCATGAAATCCAGAACATGTTTGTTGAGATCTAAACAACAGATATAATACAGGTTAAAAAAAAAAGAAGAACAGAAATATTTTTTTCTTTGCAGAGGTAATTATTAATAACTGCAGTCTTTGTGATTCATGTGCAGGTCTAGCAGAAAGGATGATGGAGTATAACACATTGTCATGAGCCAAAATTCAGTCAAATTCAAGTGTGTTGAAATTGCAATTCAGCCTGTATTTTGTATTGTATTGCATATTGAGAACATGTGTTTATACATTATATTATACATTACATGATGATAATAGCCATATCTACAAAGTGTAAATTACCACAACTAATGTAAACCTTTGTTACAGGGCCTGAAAAACCATGTAAAAGTAAAACTGAGCATTGTCAGTTGCCCTCCTGTTACCACTGTCCTTATCAAGAGACCTGACCTGAAGTTTCAACTTGGCTTCAGTGTTCAAAACGGCATTGTGAGTCAACTCTTCACAATAAACTGGCTTTTATCAAAACACTACAACTTCTGTCACTTAAATTCAACCCACATTTTATTCTTCTCAGATCTGCAGCCTGATGAGGGGTGGCATTGCAGAGAGAGGCGGCGTCCGCGTTGGTCACAGAATCATAGAAATAAATGGTCAGAGTGTTGTTGCCATGGCGCATGAGAAGATCGTTCAAACCCTGTCTCAGTGGGTGAGGTAAGAGCAACTCTGCCACAAGATGGCAATTTTCACTGATTACTGCACCACACAAAGGCTCACTGGATTTTAAAGACACACTAGCACCAAAACACTGTTAAATCAGTTCAGTATTACAGCCAGTGTGAATTTCTATCCCAATTGTAGCAGATAATTGACTTCTTATGCAAAATGTGAAGAGGGCAAGTCCACAGTTTGGTATTGATCTGAAGTTGCCTTATACCTGAACAAATGCATGGTTAAACACAATGTTAATTTTAAATTGTTAGCACAGGTTAAAAATGTAGAGCATGTGGTGTATACACCAACTGCTCAGTGTGATGTGCATCAGACATGTGTCTTCCTCCTCTCCCTCCAGAATGTGTACTTGCATCTTATCAAACAAAGTCTCTCAATCCCCCACAATACAATAATATGAGCCAGGAGTGTTCATGAAGTTTTGAGTGAGCATTGACAAACTGAAAGTTTAATCCATAATATTGTGTTTTTCTCAGATCAACATGAAGACAATGCCTGCAGTGATGTTCAGACTACTGACAGGACAGGAGACACCAGTCTACATTTAGGCACATGCCCCACTCATTACAGTAGATGAAGGAAGAACAGGTGACTCAGTGGGACATGATGAATTTATTATAGTATTATTTTATTTTCAGCCTCTTGCTCCAATGCTGTAAGAACATCCAGTTCTCATTTCAGGTTTTACCTTGAATCACATCGTCATAATGGCCTTATAATGTGAATATTTAATACTCTATGTGCAGTGTAGTTGTGACATTCAGTGCTAAAGAGAAGTAGCTTTAAGGTCATGATTATTTTCTTATGAAGAGATAAATAATAAGTACATTTATTTTTATTTAGTCATTTTTATAATGTGTATGCAGTCAAAATGTAAATGTAATGTAAATAATTTGAGTTACTCAAGGACTTGGAAGGCCATATAACTTAAAAACAGTATATGCATGTTGTTATTGCCGACCAGGGATTTGCCAACATCTGTGTTACATTATAATCTATTATCATAAAACAAATGGTACAAAAATAACATGGGGAGTTGTTTGGGTGACTCTGAAGGCCAAAGACCCATTTACACTCAAAGACTTGCAGTATTAGACCTTTACCAGAGCAAACACGAATGTACATTACTGAATGAATGTAATGTCCAAATAAATCAAGAATATAGACTCACTGCTACATACTTGTGTTTTGTATTTTAATGAAAAATAATTACATTTTAACAAAACACACCCTCTACCACCTGCTATATACTAGATACCAACAAGGTACATCAATTTATTTACAGCAGCACAATACTGGCCTTCATAAATACACTAACTATACACAAAACAGTACAGATAACATTCAAAGGCTCAGACACTACACAAGTAACATTTCGTATAATAAATGTCCTTTAACAAAGGTTTTTCAAGTATTCACGAAGAAATTGAAGGGACGTCTGGATGTTGTCATATATGTCTCTAAAACACAGAAAAGCATAATAGTTTTCAATCACAAAAAATAAATAAATAAACTACACAAATCACGAACATCAGCTGTAAGTCAAATGAACTATCATAGGCAAGTTTTATATTTTGTGAGTGATTCGGAATTTGAATTTGATTCGTAAATTGAAATAAAACGATGAATTAGTAGAATAACAAACTGATGGAAGTTATGAGTTCTAGTATATGTAATAGTTAAGTGTTTTTTTAAACTGGCTTACTTTGGATGTAGCTGGTGTAACTATGACTCCATCGAGGAAAATGGTGTTGAAATAGCCTTCTCTGGACGAACTGTCATCATCTTCATCTATGTAGACACCAGCACTAAATGCTTCCTTCAGTTTGTCTGGTATCAAAAAATACAACACCACAACCAGGATTCCAATGGTGGCACACAAAAGACCTTCAAAAAATTAGAGCAAATAGTGCTGAGTTAAAATTTATTTTAAGCAACAACTACAAATAAAGAATCAGGCTGACTCTGTATGAGTTTTATACATTTGTGACAATAAAGAAATTACTTTACTATATACTTTTTTAATATTGTTGTTTCCTTGAGCAAGACACTTAACCCAACTTTACGCTGGTGCAGGGATGTCTATAACTTTTTTCATCAAGGGACATAAATTGAAACGTACAAACGAGAGGACCAAAGACTGGAGGTGAATACAGTGAATAAATCTAAAAAAGTGTTTTACTGTGCCAAGACACCTTTGTTCAAACTTGATCTCAAGGCTTGTCTCACAACTAAATATTAATATAATGAGATTATGGTGATAGGGATTTTTGTATATAGGGGTTAAAGTACAATTCAGCAAAAAATCTATAGATCATAAAAAATAAAAAATAAATCTCAGAGTTGCATTTAGGTACTTACCATAAATTAGATATCCCTGCTCTTGTATTCAAATTTGAAAACTTTGAATGTGTGTATTGAGAATGAAAGATTGGTTAAAAAATCAAGACAGGATGGCCTCCCGTAGCCTATAAATACCTGTAGCCACGGCCAGCCAAAATGAATGGCTGTACTCTGTCACAAGGGAGTTTGTGCCAATAGAGAAGACACACTGTGGAGCGTTCTTGATGGCGGAGAAGGAGGCTATGGAAATGAAGATACAGGCAGACGTGGCCAGCATCATGTATCCAGCGTACAGGACAACAGGCATCGAGAAGAGGATGTTGGATAGGATCCAGCAGCAAAAGCCAGTCCTGAAAGTTCAGCAAGAAGTAAGTCTTTTACCATCTTAAAGCAAAAACATTCCGTATATTATTTAAGCTAAATATATTTGTAAGATATGGTAAGTTAAGGTAAACTTTATTGTCCCCTAAGGGAAGTTTAACTTGGGTTACAGTGCCACCTGCTACATGCTCACTCAAAACACTTCACAAAACCTGAAAAAATTATGCTGTACAAAGTACCAAGTAGGACCTGTTAATGATTATTTGATAAATAGACCATAATTATATAATAGGATTACATATACATAGTATATTGTAATTTGATATTTTAATACCATTTCCAACGAGTTCAGCCGATCAATAGACTCTCAGCCCTTCTGTGGACCCAATGCATTCATAGTGACGACATTTGGTGGGTGTCATTGTATTCTGTTAAATAAAAATTGGAATTTTAGTTGTACTCTACTACGAGCCGGTATGAGATGAGCTTACTCAAACTGGCCTTTTGTCTTTACTGATAGGACTGGGTACAGGCATTAATTTTACTTACAAATATAGTGGAAATTGCAGTAAAAGGTTTCTAGGTCCCACATAACCCTCTCTCAGCGTAATTAATGGCCTAATATGGTGGAAGAGAGAGGCTCTCACATTGACTATTTTAGGTGTCCATTTTTTTCGTACAGATGTACAGAATGGGATGGTCTCAGGAAGGCCTAACGATAATCAAGCGATTTCTCATACTGTTCAGAACTATCCATGGTTATCGTGCCAGGCTAACATCTCATGTTTTGGTATGAATTGGGATTAAGTTGTTCTCACTTAAATAAAAATGCACCACGAGTGATGGTCCTAGAGGTAAGGGCAAAGAAAAGAAATTTCAGTAACCTACATACTGAACTGCCTTGATCTTTTCCAGTATGAAAGCAATGAGTACTAATCATTTTCGAATTCCGTTTAACAAATGAGTGCCTCTATGGCCGCCTGTGGGCTTTGGCCTATATATAGTTGGTTAGTCATCCAAAGGACATATGACACCAAACGAATATTCAAATCACCCATACAAGTCTTTATGGAAAGACAAAAATATTAAAAATAAATTGCTTTAAATAAAGATCTTGTTTTACCATTTTGTGCATCTTATGTTTTTTTTATTTCAAACCCTTGTTAATATCCCTCAATAAGCAAGTATACTTAGGATTCAACAAGAAACAAATTAGGCAGGGATCTCACGTGTGTCACAAGAACGTTTCACCAAGTATAGAAAAAGCCTTGGAAACATGAAATGATAAGTTAAAATTATTTCTTGACCAATTGAGACTTGATTTGTATATAATAAATTGTTGTTATGTGTGATTGCTACATAGCTCAGTACGGTGTAAGTGCGCCATGTGTCAACATTATTTTTTGAAAAAGTAAGAAGTTTCAATCCTAATCCGTCAAATTGGCTCGGTACCGGCTCCTTACTGACGAACTGCCGCGTCCCTTGATCGTGCTTATGGTTTGCCTATAGTAATAGTTCTGCACTCTCTGTTTAACGCAACAAATGCCTTGTGAACTGCTGTTCTGTGAAAGCTGTCTGCCCAAAAGCTTGTACTCATTCGCTTGCCCGTCTAGTGAAGAGACTAGTTCCAGTTTATGGTACCCCAACTCAAAGTAATCCTGCGGAGTTTTTATTTTTGCTATGTGATGCCTGGTCCCCCACCATCGCATTAATTAAAAATCGCAATCCTAATTATTTATGGTAGTCCCTCACGGCTCTCAAATGGTCTTCAGTTCACCTGCCTGATAATGTAATGCTGTGAGTACCCAGGCGTTGGGAGAGTGAAACGAGCTTTCAGCTGAGTTTCCGATTCCTTACCTGTTTGTACCCAGTTTCTTCATTGCTCTCTGTGCTCCGATCAAAATGAGAAATATTAATAGTGACCCTCGTTTGCCTGGTTTTGACGCAGTAGGTAGTAAATATGGCAATCTCCTATGAATACGATTCAGGTGTTATGTGATGATCCTTCACGTGTGTTTTGCCTTTAAACTCTGTGTTTAAACCGAACAAGCGGTTGTATAGCGGTCTTACTGCTCTGGACTCCGTGTATTCTTTTGTTCCATCATGTTGGAAGATTTTTAGTGATGTGATATTAGTCTAATTGAGTAAAGACGAATTATCTATCCAGCTGTGGACGCACCTTAATTGAAACAGAGTTTCTCCCTTTCTGAAGGTTGCTTCTAATCATTGATCGCCACTGCTGATTAGGGTATGGTGCATAAACCCCACATACGTAGAAGGCCAATTTAAAGCACTGTTTGGAATTAGATCAGTAATGTAACAGCATTAACCCACTGCGATTGGAAACAAAAGTATGTTACCAAGACTTGTATATTTATGGTAGGTCTTCCCGGACATGGGCCCCATGATTAGTGGCCTCAGTTCTGTCTTCAACGTCCCCTCTCCAATCGTATTAATGGCGGTGAGTTAGAAAAAGTATCCGAGAACAAATGGCCATAAAGTGAGTTAAGACCCAGAAATGAGATTTTGGAAAAAAAGACAAAAAATGCATGGGATTATACTTAAGTAAAGAGTAAGTGAATAATATACAAGGAACATATAATTTTAGGCACATGATTCCTTTCAGTTCATTGAATAAAGTATAAACTACATCTAGAACACCTCTCGCATTGATGACAAAGTAATATTTGTGTCAAACACAGTGATGAACAATAGTAATGTCATGCAGTAATATGTTGATGGAATCCCCATTCTAAGTCCTGAAGCACGTGATAGAATATAAACAAGATAACTAGTCACAATTTCGAGCTTCAACAGTTGAAACCCAATTTAGACAGAAGGAAAGATTGAGAGGTTCTAGCATAAAAGAATTTTATAGCCAAATATCTGACTTACTTGCCAACCACGCATTCCATAAATATGCTACATGATTGATGCAGAAACCTATTGAGAAGAAGAAGTTACTTAACTGATATAAAAGTGTATACAGCTAGTTGGGGGTACCATCCAAAACAGCCTTCTAATAGAGAAAAAAAAAGTTTATGTGACAACGTGATAGAACTACATATAACGACAATACACGCATACTAATTCAAGTACACCATCAAAAATATGTGGATATTTGTGGCAAGGCAGCAGCCAGCTTGAATCTAATATTTTATGTTCATGTTTATTATTAGGACCAAGTACAATCCTCTAACTATTCTGTCAGTTCTTGCAAATAAACTACAATTGTATTTTCAGTGACAAAGAAAACATCTTGCAGCTGCAGATTGCTGTTGCTAAGGCCCAGGTGTGTGCGGGCCTATCCTAGCCAATTACTTGACTTAATCATTGAGCTCTAATGGAGGGGAGGGCTGCTGTACTGAGAATTAATTACAGGGCTGTGGCTCACTGTGAGCTGCAGTTTGAGAGATTTAAGAGTAGAGTGTGAAAGACGTGGAGTCATTACATGCCCAGCGCTTATGTTGTCGAGGAGCAATTAGTGGTTATTGGATTTCTGCGGAACGGACTGTGCAAGAAAATCAATTATTGAAACTGCATTGCATCATGTCTGCTTTTGTCTCCACTCTCTACAGTAACTCCATGTGGGCTACAGTTTAGGCTTTGGGAGTGATGTTCGAAAAGTGCTGACTAGATCCCCCCAAAACAGTACGGCAATTCACTTCAGGATGTTTGTGAGCTCATTAAAACAGAAAAATGGTGGCATTGTCAGGTTTGTCATTTTGCTGGAGAGAAAATGCATGGAGTTTGAAAGAAAAGCGTCCCATACAAGAGTCCAGTGTGGGCTGAACCAATGCGGGACAGTTCATTTGCGACACACTTGGCCGGACCACCCAGACAGAGGAGGTGGGCATAATGGACACAGGCACACATTGTATTACTCGAGGGAGAAGCCCCATGTAGCAGAACAGCTTACCAAATTATTTTTCACAAACAAAAGGAATAATGAACAACACAAATGTGCACAATGTAACGATGCTCCCCTGGCCCTGTTAGTTTACCAAAACGGTGGTTTGGGAAAGGTCCAATTGGACAAAAATCAAACTATTACGACACACACAGAACACATGGGAAATATGGACTGTCCAATGATGATTTTATTGGGTAAGTCTATGTGAAAACATAAACAAGAAAACCAAGATGATGCAGTTACAATATTTAAATTTTTTGTTTGTTATCCTTGTGATAATTACTTATAAAATGTGCTGCAGATGATGGCATTTTAATGAATACAATTGCTCCAATACTTCATCATAAGACAGTGAGTAGAAAATAATAATGACACAACACAATTGTAAAAATCTGACAGCCTGGACAATACAGTTTTCTCTATGCTTGGGCCAATGTAAACAATGGACTTTTCATTTCTAAATGGTTCTTCCCAGACATGCATCTATCTACATTTAATTGCTGTTTTGTGTAAATGCTGTCATTCATTGGGTTATAGCTGACGACTACTGGCAGTAAGTGTATATAAGCTGTCTTAACGCTCACAGAGCTGAATTGGTTTCACACTGTTTTAACTGTGGAACATGGTGTAAACAGTAAATGAAATTGCAGGAATATTTTTGGGCCCATTAAAGCACGGAGCACAGGGCAACAGACTTACATTAATATGTTCCTCTTGCTACATTCGCCTACATCTCACAAATGTTAAATATTATTGAAGAAAACAAGCATTGCTCTAGTATGTCGTGTGAAGCTGCAGTTAATGAGATCTAGAGCAGTTGTCCCGTCTAAACAGTTGTGATTGAGTACAAATAACATAAAATCTGGTTTTTGCAGGCAACAATAGTTCAACTAGTGTTCATGTCACACTGGGACTGTATGTATGGGAGATGCCTGGAAGAGGGACATGTTAGCGTTTATAAGTGTTGATTTTGTGAGGTTTTAGCTTGTTTTTACTATCACTGCCTCATTGTTGTACACAAAACCATATTCAAAATCACATTCTGGTTTATGTAAGGGAATGCAGCCTCGCACAAACAGTCTCTGTATGAAGCCACCACATACACTGGGAGTTAGACAGACCACAGTTTCCTGGTTGGGTTTTAGCGGCAGAGGGAAGAAGAACTTGAGCTTACACAGGTTTTGATTCAAAGCCCTGAAATCCAGTGACAACAAAATGACTACAGGCAAATATAGAGTGTATTATGGTTAGCCCAGATGTGAGATAGCGCTAAACCTGCAATTAGAATGACAGAAAATCCACCCCAAATTCTCACATTCTGCTTTGGTACAGTGTCGTCATGACAATATCTTCACTCAAAATCTTTCCACAGGCATCTGAAATTTTTAATTCTAGTTGGGGAATAGCATTTGAAGAGCTAATGTAAAACATGACCCTGCAAACAATTGACATTTGCTCCTCAGCAAATAAGAATATGCTGTACAGTACTACAGTGCCTAGTTGTATATCTTATGATGAATACAATATTAATGGGGTAATTGCCTAAATATATTAAAAGGTGCACTGTGCAACTTTTCTGGCAGAGGACCCACTGTTTCCTTAGAGATGTTGATTTTCTCTATTGCAGAAATGGTATAGTTTTCTGTGTGTAGAGTGTAGCCATGCAGAAGTCTGAGTATAGGAAATCTTCAACTAACTTCTCTCTTCTCACACTTTTCCCTCTTCTCACTAACTTATTTTCTGCTGTCCCATATCAATCCTCAACTAAGACACTGATTACTCGACTAAAGGACTACAGTTCTAGTAGTTTTGCAAAAGTCTGAAGTGTGAAGGCTGCTTTGTAAAACTGGGCCATGCCTCACACATTGTCCGTTGGCCGTGTCCATGTGTACACGTCAGATTCGCTTGTGTCCTGCAGGGGCTCTGCCTTCTCACTGCTCCTCTGCATTTCACCAATTGCCAATCAACCTGCAATGTGATGTAGCAACAGATGTGTGTAATGTTCGTCAATCCTGTTAGTGTGGAACAGCATTTAATTAGATTAGCTCTATGCTGTGCTGCATGTGTGTACAAAGAGCACTGGCAGTTTACAAGTTACTAAAAGGTAAAGGGTAATGCATTCTTTTGAGGGGAGCATGGACAAACAACTATAGCTTAAAGGTGCATTGTGTAACTTTTCCCGTGGAGGATCCGTCTAATGATTTTCTCCATGGAGACGTTATTGCTTTGTCTGGAATGTTTCACAGTATGGTATTAAACCTTTCTATCTTCATGGCGAACAAACCAGACCAAAATTACAGGTCAGATCTGTGAGGCAGCCCCGCTCACAGTCAGAATGTTGGTTTTTTTTTTTTGTGGTTTTTTTTTTGTATTTTTGAGCTATAAAACCACCTGTAATTGAATAAATGTAAGGTAGAGCTGTTTATTGTCATATTATGTAACATTCCAGACAGAGCAATGATATATGCATAGAAGCAAGCAGTTAACAGCCCCCAAACAAAAAGTTAGATAGTGCACCTTAAGTACAAGTTTGCATGTGTGTTTTAACTATTTTCCTGCCCATAACAGTTTTATTTTAGAGACTTGAAACTGTACAGAAATGTGTTCCAAAGTGGCAAATCTCAAAGCCCATACAATAATGAAATCTTCTGCATACGCTACTTGTATAAATGCAAATGATATGGATCTGTGGATTTTTCCCTGTGTGATTGATCTGACACACAGGCTTTTTATTTCTACTCTCCAGGGCTATTATTGACCCTGTTACTGCCATAAAGGCACATGAGCCAGAGAAACCAGCCAAAGTTGAGGTTGATTAATTACATTTTGGGGAATTCTTTGAAAAGAAAATTGTGTGTCACTGACGGATCACATTGGAAACCTAAATGTGGATCACTGTCCAATTTTCCTCAGTCTAAAAACAGGCTTCATATAGTGGACCTCGCCCTCCATTTTGTGAGAGCTGGAGAAAATCATTAAAATTCTATGTGACTAGTTGTGCAGTCATCCCTAAAAGTAGCAATATTAACAGCAGCATTACAGTGTAAGTAACCACTCGGCTCCCCTACTCACCTGTCGACCCTTCACGTTTTTCCTCCTGCAGGATCTCACCTCGTGCGCCTCCTGCCTGCGCGCTTCTGGGACGGGGTGTATCAGCCAATCCAAGAGCCGCAGCTGCCCAATCCACGGGCCCTCAGCCGACTGCTCAGCCAGGGGCCATCGGGGCTACCCTCCACACGAAATCAAACCGTGCTTTCCTTGTTTTTTGGTAATTACCGCCATTTTAGCAACAGACAACCTTACTATTTCGATTTGAATATGACAGGAAGAAATAATGCAAGACTTTAAGGTTAATAATCATGATACAAATAATAATGGTGATAAAAACAGTGCTAGTCTGATACCATTTAGACTATTATAGCTTTTTGCATCATATCTCATCTGTCATCGTCTATAGGCCCTGGATCCATACCACCATATAGTGCTGCTGTTGTTCATGTGCCTTTGGTTCACACAGTCTCCATATAGATGAAGGCATATTTTCATACAATGCAGATAAAATTTGTTTCAATAATACCTGTATATAGCAGGCTAAACAAAAGCTGCACTTTGCTGAGACAGCTCAAACAGAGTGAAGAATGTGAAGGGATTAACAGACATGCATGTCTAGAAAACCTAATTGCTACCTTTGCCTTGCTACAAATACAAAAGAATCCTCTACTAAAACTGAAATTAAACAGACAATGAGCAGAGTATCTTCTTATTCTGAGTAAAGGTGCAGTCTTAGACAGGTTTATTCAGACAGTTAAAAATTGACTCCTAATGTAAATATGGATTAGTTCAGAAAGCATATAGTTAAATAGACGTAATAAATAAATGTAGTTAAAAAATACCCATCATTTACTGAAGGTGACTGTGGTGGTTTTGTACACAGAACTCAGAGTGTTAGTGTAGCTACAGCTCTGCTGGGGAGCCCTGACGCAGCAGGCTCTCTGGGACAGACTTGGGCCGGGCGCTAACAGCCGCAGTGAGACATGACTGTAATGGTCCAGGCAGAGTGGTCTCACTCAGAACAGCAGCTCCTTTTGTGTCTGCCCTGCGCTCGCTCACTCCAGTTATTTTTAAACCAGTAAAACCTCCAGTGCACTAACTGCCAGGAGCACTGCACCTCTGCCGTGTGAGGCGTCTTTGTCTCACGATGCTCAATCAGCCCTCTGCCAAATGGAAGTCCGAAATAGACCGTCACATCATTGGCATTCATTTTCTCTTTGTTTATTTTTATGATAGCCATATGTATTTTAGTTATTCATTATGGGGGCCGTCCATGGCTGATGGCTTTTATTAGTGAGCTATTACAAGAGACCTGACTACAATGAAAAGAATGACTTTTGGTCTCTCTCCTTGCCAAAATCACAATGTTTGCAAGTTTGTGGAAAACATTCATCACATTTCTCTGGACAGTTTTCTCATTAGTAATATTACACCCTTAGCTGTAAACTTCTTACATATGAATGTACTGTTAGAACATTTTGTGTAAAAATACTGGAGACAAGAGCAATCCTTTGACTCCTGTGCTGGTTACTATTGTCTTTGTAGAGCTGTTGGAGAAAGTCCAAGTGTGATACACATCCTCAACATTCAATCAGTGGTCTCTGCACTGCGCCCTGCAATATAAAGGCTTTTGTTTAAATAATTTCTAAAAATGGTCAAAAGCAAATTTACTTTTGCCATTTTAATAGTAGCCAAATACATTTTATTTTATGTTTTTGCTACAAAACAGATAAAGATTCATCAATGCCAAACTATTAAAACTATTTGATCTAGATCTAATCATTAAAATTTCACATAAGCCTGCAAGCTGCATAAATCTATTCAAACATATGACTCAATCTTTCTCTCCAAAAAATGTTAATAGAAAATTGTTGTTGGGGGGACAGAGGATCAAAGTGAGGATCCAGGAGCGTCAGGGATTACTGCAAGAGCCGGATTTTTCGCTGCTGAAAATGCTTGGAAATCTGTAGAAAGGAACGAGCTGTCGTTTAAGAAAGATGACTGAAAATAGAATGTTAGGCTGGCATATGTTTAATGTCATACCATGAAACATTCAGGGTAAAGCATAAATCTCCAGGAAATAAGTAGGTGCGACTCGCCACCCAAAAGTTGCGCAGCGCAGCCTAGTAAGAGCATTCTCAGGTGGACCTGTCTGTCCATGGTTCCCCATGCACAGGAGGCCCTCCCAGATCTGAGGATCACTTTGGCGATCAATCCCCACCTACCATGCATGTGAGAACGAAATCCTAAACACTTTTGTGAGAAGAATAGCCCTTAATTTCCAGATGATAAAGTGATTCTTTTAAGGATCCTCTTAGTAACCTTAGTTAGTGGGACATTTTTGAATGTAAGAAATGCCTTTTGAAATTACTATTAAATCAATACCCATAGTAGGATTAATTATTAGAAAGTATGTCGGGTTCAGGAAATAAGATCACAGTTTTAATATTTATATGTTTATCAAATACATTATATGTGGCTATGTTAGTTAAGTATGTCATTTATGTTACACTATTTTGGAGTTGATAATGATTAATGATTTACTATTGTTTGTTGTGTGAATTAATTCTGAAATTGGTTGCTCCTTTAAGTAATAGTAATTTCATGCTATTATTCTTCGAAGAAGAAGAAAAACATAAAACCGGGTACAAAATTGCACATTATATGTAGATACATGATAGCTTCAAAGTTTGATATATATTTTATAGAGTATGAACAGTGGTAAATATCATAGGATGAACACCCAGCTAATGTTCAGTTTTAGTCAAGTTTGTGACAAGGGCTGCCATTCCTTGAAAACCTTACATGTGCTTAGGAATAACATAATATGTTGTGTTACCAAGGAATTCTTGGTGAAGGTGCCCAGTTTGTGGCACCTAACCCACTCACATTGACCAGGTAATAGTTGTATATTCATGACCTGTGAATAAGAGATACACTGATTGAATGTGGTGGGATGCAAACAATATATGTTGATGGTGCAAGATATATCTGAAAAAGTTATTCAATCAATTATCCAGAATTATGAAATCAGGCTAGTTGTTGAGTGAGATGCATGAGTCAAAAGGCATGTGACACAGTATGACACCAGCGGAGAGTATGGAATTTCCCGCTTCCTAAATGTACACCCGTAAAAAATGATTGGTTTTTTTAGTCAATGAGAAACAGCGAACTCTGACCACCATTAGAATATAATCACCAATTGATGATGTTGAATCATATCATTCATTGTCACCTCTCAATGGCAGTATTTTTGCTAAAGTCCACGCCACAGTTTCCTATTACTAAACCTATGGTTTTTGGATCATTTTGGTCCAGATATGATTGGCTTTCCAGTTTCAAGGCCTGAGCCAGTAATGACCTCGTTGTGAGGGATTTCCTTATTGTTTACCAGCACTGTGCGCAATGTTCTTTTACTAAATGTCGCCATTGTGTTGAACCTAGTGTTGATATGTTGGTTTCAATAACAGGAGAATTATTAATATGTGTTTTGTTGTTCATTAGACTAGGTCATGCACATATTGAAAAATTATGTAGAGTCCAATAGCATATGCTATCATGCTTAAGAGGTGCACTGTGTAAACTTCTGGAAGGCTTTGTGTGTGCTGAAGTTGAGACATCTGTCGGGATGGCGTTCTCGCCTTTCAAATTGTCTTTGCCTGTTTTCCTCTAGTGAATATGTTATTATTTTGTTCTGGAGAGAGATGCTGTTTCACTAGGGAGTCTGTACTGGATGTTAACGCTTGCTTCTGTTGCTGTTGAAAACTTGCGTTTACTACTAGTCATTGGCAGGCCACATAAACCAGACCAAGTTAGGGATAAGCCTGGTCAGATTGTTAAAGATTGTGGATCTAGCCAATGTAAGGGAGAGGAAAGAGAACAGGCGATTTAGAGGAGTCTCAAAGAGAAAGAGTCAACAGCAGAAAGTGGCATGTTTGTTATGTATTTGTGTGTGGAAGTCCCACTATATTGTACCAATTCGGCTGGTAAAATGCTACGGTCTGCAGACACTTCCCAACAGATGTGACTTTAATGAGTTAAGACCAAGAGGTAACAGGCTTTATAGAAGTCCACTAAAGTGTTTAATGTCATACTTCCAGGCCCTAACTAATGCATCCCAGAATATCAGGGAACAAGCATTCAAACAGTGTTGTTGTAAATAGCAAATGGACATACATGAGCTGTATGGAATCACTAAGATAAAGGTGAATTGTATCCCTTGGTATTGCCCACACTCCAATCATCCAAAAACCATAGTTACATAGTGCAGTGTTGTTCATTTATGGCACCAATTATACAACAAAAATACATAATTCCCTTTATGCATTAATAATGATTAATTTTTTAGTAGTTAACAACAGATGACAATATAAAATCTTTGAATCGTTGAGTCCTTTTAATGTCTACTGCCAATCTCTGTCATAAAGCATGTGTACAGAGTGTTAGAGTAAAATATACAAATATTTCTAATTGATAATTTATTATAAATTTTACGTGTCGACTTTCGTTAAAAATGCTTGACAATGTCTAATAATATTCTCATAATTACAAGATCGAGTAATTGTATGTTCATAGGGGAATTCCAAATTTTGAAAGAACACCACTGAATTTCTAATTATTGTATTTTTATTACAAATCATAAAAATGAAGAAAATTTTTAATAAAAAAAAGCGCAACTAAGTGAACACATATACTGATGATTATATAACTAAGAGGGAAAAAACATTGGGATTAATTACCAGTCACTTTAGTTACTGCAACAACTTGATTGATGTATGCATAGCCTCATATTGATTTAGCATGTCATGCATTCCATTTTGCATGACCAAGAAGGTTCACCAGAGAGGCCGCAAAAGACAATTCCATTGGGTAATTTAGGCCATGACAAACCTGCCGCCCCATACCCTGGGGAGCCCACCGGCAGCCCATTGTTATTGGTCTGAAAGCCCTTTTCATTGGAACATGGGTGTTCTCCCTCACTGGGCCGCAGTGAGTGGCGCCCACAGCCATTATATGGTTTCAGTGGCCTACCAACAATTATAAATGTGCTAACGCCTCTACAAAGCCTCAATACTTTTTTATCTGGGACGGGGAATTCCGAGGGAACACCAGAGTGGTCAGACGAGAGACTCTTTCAAAATGCAGGGAAGACGTTGTGGCCACATTTCAGGTAGAAGGAAAAGAAGTGACGTATTTTGAAAAGCACTCTTGGTCTCGTAATCGCAGGTCTTCACGTGGTCCGTATCACGAACTATCCCATGTGCGTATTTGTACTAAAGACCTGCTCCTAATGTTGCTAGCTGTGGAACGCGGTGTACCAAAGAGGATGCTTACCCTCCGTTCACCTATTCCAAACACTAGATTTTATGAGGTGGAGGCAACCAAAGGGTGCCATGGTCGGGTGTCGAATTTGGTAATGAGGGATCGGTCCAACGGGACCTGATGATGTGGTCACAAATTGAAGGGCTTCCCGGGTTTTAGTGAAGGTTGAGCGCACAAGTGTCATGCCTTGTTATTTAGGCAGACCAGACCTAGCCAGCAGTAACGTTAAACTCCGTTGAAATAATGTCCCAATCTACCAGACCGTACCGAGTGATAGAAAACTGTTAACACACATCAGATGACATGTATAAGAAAAGTGTAAAATAATGATTTAAATGAAAAGGCAAGTAACATAGCCACTTTGTCTGTGCTTATAAATCGGTTTTTTATATTTTACAAACCATGATAAAAAGATGAAAAACACAGATGATGATATATAACTATTTTAAATATAGTAAATTGCTAGTTTAGTCTAGGGCATTCATCATCCCGACTCAGAAGTACAAATAATCCCGTTGTTAATTCCCTAAATGAACTATCATTTGAGTTGTTAATCTTATCTTTCCAAGTGCAAATTTTATTAGCCCATAAACTATTTTATTATGTTTAAATTCTAAATAAAATTGTAGTTTCAATTATAGGACAATGGTAATCCATAATGTAATTAACGGAATAATTCTCCAGTGAATATAACATGTAGCAAAAATATACAGAAAATGCAAAGGTATTTTTCATTCTGGTGTTAGTGGGTTGTGCCTGTTTTTCCCGTCCTTTTAAGTAGTAACATGTCCATCCATTTGTAAATTTATGCCCACCGTCCTTCCCCTCAAATAATGTGTCACAGGTCTGACGTAATTGCAATACACATAACTCGAATAAAAAATGCCCTACAAAATTGTAGAACAGCCTATTAAAAATTTAATGTGTTGAGTTTGTTTGTCGCAATAAAACGTCCATTGGAATTACTTGAAGCCCCAGATAGTCAACTTTACAAAAACTAAATACTACTATGCCCAGTTGGTTAGTAATGCACTAGGTCTCCCAGTTATGCCAGTGTGGAGAGAACTTAGCGGCAAAACAAACCAAACTAAAATGTTCACTGAAATCTGGAGTTTGATGCAAGTCAAACAAGGTACTCGAGGCAAAGCCTGGGTTTAAGCCCCGTTGCTGGTGACTTCCAAGGAAAACAGTAATTCTGGCCTCTCTTTCTATAATGTGCTAGGTTGGGTGGACACTTTATTCCTCCTGTGTGGAACGTATTTGGGATTCTATTAATTTGTCACTTACGGCTCAAATTGGCTTGAGCAGTAACTGTATAAATTTACCATGCTCTTTTCATTTTGCAAACTTCATATGTAGGTTTTCATTATTTAACAATTGTGAATTGTACAATCAACATGAGCAAAAAGCTTATATGGCATAAGCACCTTACATTCTTTAGCATCAAGAAGTGCTTTGGCGATAGCAATTATACCACCAACTTGTACTATTTCACTTGACAAGAATGTTACCATTCTACCGCTTATTTTCTGCCTACTCACTGAATTACCAGAACTTCATTGGCAAAACTAGTATGACCCACTAAATGATGAGTGTGTAGTCTTTCGCATTACACGTGGCATAGTTTGTTTTGTTTTCGACTGACTTTAAGTCTGGACTAAGTTTAACCGGACGAGGAACAAGGCCACAAGGGTTGCTCAGTGTGTTATCGCACCACAGGCCATGACAGGCTTCTATACCTGCTTCTTATCCAGATAGACACCACAGGTCGGTCAAATGATATGAAGATAGATAAAAGGGTGCCAGTTGGTATGGCGCTAGATAATGGTGGAAACACCACTCTAAACAGTGCCAAACAAACCCTGACATTGGACTAACCTGCCCAATAAATCAATTTTAGTTATCACCACCTCTCCAACATTTCATGATATTCCTCTTCATGTATTAGAGCAACGTACCAAACTGGATAGACCTTAGCCTGTCAAAATTGCAGAAGTACGAAATATCTTGGAGGGTAACTTAGACACTCGGCCCAGTGAAACCACCGAGTCAGGCATGTTGTAAACCGTAAAATTATGTGAGTAAATGCGCTGTCAATAGTACGAGCTGAGTTATTAACTACGAATAGTGCTTTGTCAGCAAAAGATCTTCAGAGTCCTTGTTAGTTGATGAGTTCAGAAAAAGCAAACTCTTCTCAAATTGTGAATAATAATAACTGATCTATGTTAGACTCCAGAGCAATCAAGAAGGAATTGGTTGATATAAGCCTCTGCAAAGATAATTTTGATGGTCAGATATATTATTAGCATGATATGTCAGTATGACCTATCGATTATAGATATTTATAGTAAAACCCACCAAAGCATTATGTAATTAAAATTTACTTACAAATTCACCCACAGCAATTTTTGAATCAAAAATACTTGTTGAGAGCAGGTTTACTTCATGTTTTGTTTACTAATTGCCACAACATCTGAAGTGTTTTTACCTCATAAAATTATAGTAGCTTCTTATGTATGAGGATCATAACTAAATTTAACCCATTATATAACCTAGAGAAGCCATGCTACCAAGGACTACAGGCTGAAAAAATGCCCAAAACTATAGAAGGTATTCAGCTCCATAGTGCTAGATTATTAAAGGGTCCTCTTAATAGCCACCTCCTTTCTGAACTTAAAAAGCCTATGCTGCCACCTCTAATACTTCAGGCCTAATCGCTTAATGATATATTGTGTTACATAATAGTTGCGCTTTTGGTCTCCTTATAATGATAATTTTTATTGCAAAAAACTAAATGGATAAATAGAACCTGAAATAATTGTGATTGTAAAATCCAATACCAAGATACTATCTCCGCCTACTCAGTTCCATGAAATGGTTTTATCGAAAGGAGAAGGGGCCCTTTGTCCAACAGCTGACCCATATTCGAATAATACCCTAATAATTTTTAATACCAAAAAAAATAGAATCTCCCAGTTATAAAAGGTAAAAACCTCCTTGTGCCCGAGTTGTTCATTAGCCTACAGCTATGCATTAGTTCATTTCGATAATGTTGGTATCATCCACCCAGAATTTCCAAAAATAAAAAAAAGTAATTGTACTAGCTGGGGCCATAGTCAAACCGGCCTGGTGTTTCCTAACCATACTTGCCATGAGGAATTGAGAACATGCGATCTACCGCCCCTGACATCCTTTAGTCTTGCTATGCCTTTGAACTTTGTAGTTCCTCACCAAATGTAGGCCTCCAGGGCAGCTTATATGCTCATAGAGGGGACAATGCTGTGGATGGCTATTGAGGCCTGGCTTTTTAAACCTCCTTTTACAATCCCCTGTGTGAAAAAAAACTTCTCACCATCACCAATAGAGAGTCTAAGTTTAGGATTTAGAGCCTGTATTCAGACACTGCCTTTTGTACTTTGGGGGAGTTGTACATGACCCCTCCTGCTTGTGCCTGTCTGCTCTGCTGCAGCTTTTCTACACATTTTACCACCTTATACCCCATAAGATGTGTTGTAACTTCACTGGCACCTGTTGTTGTTATTCACAAAACTACTCTAATTTATTACTGAATTTTTAAAACAACAGGAAACACATATGCTTGGCATTGGCTGACAAGTTCGGTCATGACTTTAGTAAGGAACCTTATATTTGAGTAGTAGGGAGGCGTCAGCCTTATATATAAACAGCTTTACTCTAACACAAATGTGTATTTTTTATGGCACGGAAGGTACTTAAAGCATGAAGACATGCCAAAAGGGAAGGGTTGATGAGCTAATTATGGGCATGGCTTCACAGATTTCAGAGAGAGAAGACAATATTATAGTTGAAGATCTCATTGAGCAGACCAGCCGGTACTTTAAGGGGGTGTGGTTGCCAGTCGTCATATTATTATTTTCTTAAATGTGCCCTCTATAACTTTTGCTGAGGTAACAGAGGCCCTTCAGATGGCCCGGAAAAAGCAATTTGGTGTGTCCTCCTCCAAGTGGAGTATCACACCTGCTGCTCTGCTTGAGCCGCATGTGCCCAAAAAAAAAAAAAGCTGGCTGGAAGGCAAGATATATAAGTTTTGGTAGTGTGCTCACATACAGTATTGTTTCCCCAAATGGCATCCACTTGCGAATTAGCTGGTAACAATTTAGAAGATCGCTAACATTCATGACCTCATGTTGGCACAATGACAGCAAATTATATTGGTGTGTAATGTCAGTAGTGTCCATTACTTTTTTACGAACTGATAACTAACTTCTGATCTTTTAAATCTTTTCCTTTGACTTCCCCAATTTTACCAGTTCCACGTGCCCTAGTGAAAAAGATTTACATGCCATCGGAAACCCAGGTGTGAAAACCGCATGAAAATGAACTTTTGTTAATTATGTGTTTTATGCGATTTAGTTTCTTTAGACTCTATTCTCCATAATCAATCTTTAAAGATGTTATAATAACTAGAATTTGCACGCACTAAATTTCTATTTCCGTGTTCTTTAAGTATTCTTCATATTTTGTCTATATCTTTACGGTTTCTGAGAGAGGGTACTCCATTAGTTAGTGAATGCACTGCCAAAATTGCCTAACAGCAGCTTCGTTAACCACTTTAAAAAAAAATGACGAATTCAAACACCAAACAAACAACTCGACAACTATCGATCTCAAAAAAAAAAACAACAACTTTTATTTTTTGGCATATTTTCTTAGACCTCAGAGGAATGTAGCTCGCAACATGACTTTATATAAACAGGGTCTATGCAATAGCTAAGGAACTCTACTTTTGATTGTTGGCCTATCTTGGATTTGCCCACTTACACAGAGGTCAGAAAGGCTTTTGATCTGCCACATTTAAAAACCATTGAAGATATAAATCCAGAGCTCAACCGCACCAACCCACAGGTAAATATTGTTTTAATATATAATATTTTGTATAAACTCTATATGCCAGTCACTGTTTGTAGTAGAATTTATAATGATCAATTTGATATGCTTCAGTTCTGCTTTAAATATAGAATTTCATAGTTTCAACCTGGTATATGCCCAGTTTTGTCTACAATTTAGTCTGGATTTTTTACTCCTAATGTCAACCATGTTTAGTCCAAATTAAGTCTAGGTTTACTTTGAATCAAGATAATTGAAAAAAAAGAAGTTGTATTTAACTGTGTATGTATCTAACGTGTTTTGTGTTTATTCCACAGTTACTAAAAGACATTGCTGAGCTTTATAATGAAGATATTTCAAAACTCGAGCTTTTTGTTGGAGGGTTGCTGGAGTCTGTAAACGGTCCTGGTCCAGTTTTCTCTGCCATAATTCTCGACCAGTTTGAACGAATCCGAAATGGAGACCGCTTCTGGTTTGAAAATAAACAAAATGGGTAAAACCAAATACTGTATTTGAATAGGATTTGGGCTTCCATTTTTATTCTTAAATATTTTCTGATGGTTTGAAGAAAAGTGATTTGACAAACAGTAGATCATGGCTTACTTGGTGTTTTGTTGATGCTCCAAGTTTAGTCATAAGTAAGTTTAATTAAGTTTATTCAGGATTAAGTTTTAGTTTTGATTTTTATCTTTAGAACTGGTTTATCTCCTGCGCAAATTTGCTTCTGTCCTGGTTTTATTATTTCCTTCTGGTTGTAATAATAATGGATGTAATGGATTATATTTATTCCACTGTCATCATTCTATAATTACAGAATATTTGTTTTTTCCAGTTTGTTTACAGATGAAGAGATTCAGATCATCCGCAACACAACATTTCATGATGTCATTATTGCAGTCACAAGCGCTGGCTCCACAGATATACAAGAAAATGTGTTTTTCTGGACAAATGGTACAAATAACGAATTGAACTGAAAGGATTTTCTGTATCAATAACACACTACCTTTCAAATATGTGTTGTCCTCAGGTGACCCTTGTCCTCAGCCTACACAGCTAACTGATTCAGCACTCCAGCCCTGCACTAATGCTACCAAACTTAATTACTTTGATGGAGGCAAAGCAGGGTTTATAATATTTATCATTGTGCTTATTCTCTTTCCTTTTGGTAGGCATTATTCTAATATCAATCTAATCATACTGTAATTTGTTTGTGTGTGAAAATATTAACTCTTGAATTCCTTTACAGTTAGTTTGCTTGTTGCGTGGTTGGTGGCAATAATGAAGAAAAACAAATATAATAAGCTTCAGAGAGGAAGAACTTCTGTTAATAGGACAGATGAGCCCACAGTTGGAATCCCAGGTATTTTTTACATTTGCCTACATCTACACAAGTTTGTCTATTAACGGACTAGAGCCAGAGAGACAGTAATCTTATAATTCTCGACAAACATTTGGGCATGTATTGATCTTCAAGATAAAATGTATACAGTATTAATTCAATTCAATTATATGAATAAAAACAGATGAGTTTTGTGAAGTACTGGAATGTAAAGAAATACAGCATACAGCAAAATGGATTTACTTGCTGAAATTGACAAAATGATTATTGGTGGGTATAAATAGAAATAAATAAACATTTGTCAACGGTGAGGGATGTCTGATGTTCACAACTGCCAGTACAGTGTTCAAAAATGAGAAAAACAAACTACATAATTTTAAACTAAAGATGTATTATTTTCACATGTTTTGTTGAATTGTAGGAATGTGAACATGTGTTCTGTTGTTTTTAAAGCTTTTGAGTGGCAAGGCAATAAGAAACATCTCCATCCCGTCAGTGTGGAGTTTGACGAAAAGAGTCGAGTTCATGTTTTTGACAAGGCCGGAGCCACTCTCCGGACACTGTATGTGGGAAACCAGGACTGTCCAGATATCATTTTATCCAGTGACTGTCAGCGGAAAGCCCTGCTTCTCAAAGTGCCCAAGGAGTATGATCTGGTGAGCTTGTATAGCTGTTTTTTCCCAAAGTAGCACAGTCTAATTTAAGAGCACTTCCCCATGTCCCACTTATAACACCTTGCTTTTTTCTCGATACGCAGGTGCTATTTTTTGATGATGAGAATATGCGCTCCTCATTTGTCAACAATCTATGCCCAGAATCTCTTGAGGGCGCAGACATTGGGCAGAAGGTGATGATGAGAGAAATGAGAGAGAGAGACCTGCTAAAAGAAGCTTTGACCAAAGAGCAACGGGAGCGAATAGTGGAAACATTCATAAGACAGGCTTTCTCCAAGGTAAACTCTTCCTCTTACGGTTGACCTCATCATTGGTCGGTGCGCCAGTACAAGGCTTAGGTTCAACCACAAAGTGTCGTCAAACGTGTTTTTTGGTTTTTAGATCTGATCCTTGTCCAGAAAAACTAATTGTTGTCCCTTTTGGTGATCTCATCTGTGGTGGGCTTTAGTCACACACTGACATTAGTAATGCCACTTCACCAATATCACTCTCTCTATCTCTATCTTTCTGCTTTTTCGCTTTTCTTTTGTTTTCCTCCAATGTTTTCTTCCAGTTCAAATTGATATTGTGGACAAGACTATTTGCTTATTTTGTTCCTGTAACAAAATGCAAAAGTATAGTACTTAAGTACAAATTTTAAGTATTTAAAATTTTAAAGCGGATACTTTTTGATACTGTTTGAAGGATTATTTTATAGCAAGTTCATATTGACATCCTCTTTCCTAATGGTTTTGAGTCCCGAGAGCATAGTGATGTAAATTCATGAAAAAAATTAAGAAATGAATTCGGTCGCTTATGCTGATTAAACATTAGCACAATTAGTTATCAAGATCAAACTGAATCTCTAATTGTCCTCATACTATGTGAAATACTTTTTACTCAAAGTACATTTTGCTTAAGTAGAAATGTGTATGTGATGGCCTACTTTTACTTCAGTATCTTTTTTGCTCCTGTATCTGTACTTTTAAATAAGCTAAAAATTTTAGTACTTCTCCCACCATCGCCTTGTCCAACCCAGTCACTCTATGAGCTTGTTGTCAAACTGTGATTAAACTTGACCTACGTTTTGAACAGTGAATTGATTTCCTCCACAGTGACTTCATGTGTGGTGTACATTAACCACATTGACATCAGTGATACCCGTAAATCCACCTCAACAACAATGACTGTGTATGTGTGCAGGTTTTGGAGATAGACCGGAGTGAGGCTGGAGACATGAGTGGTGTGTCTCATCAAAAGGCCAAAGAGGTGCTGCAGTGTGAGCTCACCGCCTCAGAGTTTGCAGAAGCCCTCGGCCTCAAACCAGACTCCCTGTTTGTGGAGTCCATGTTCACATTAGCCGATAAAGATGGGAATGGTTACCTCTCTTTTCAGGAGTTTCTTGATGTCATTGTTATTTTTATGAAAGGTAAATATTAAACCTAAAAGCATATATTTTATATTTACATCATACCCAAGTGTCATGAAATGTACAGTGCTTTTCTATTACATATTATAGTATATTTCATAACACTATCTTAAACTGGGTATATACTAACTATAGTTTACGCAATCATTTACTTTTGGCAGGTTCCTCCGAGGAAAAATCCAAGCTAATGTTTGCCATGAATGACATTGATAGAAATGGTTACTTATCAAAGGACGAGTTTGTCAGGATGCTAAGGTTAGTTTAGTCACCGTAGTTTATCCCTTATGCTTCAGCTCTGCTTAATTTGATCATCAGCTTTTTTTTATGTTCAGATCCTTTTTTGAAATCTCTAATGGGGCTTTGTCTAAGACCCAGGCTGATGATGGCATTAAAGCTCTGATGCAGGCAGGAGGATTTGAAAACAAGGAGAAAATCACATGGCAGGACTTCCACTTCCTTCTACAAGACCATGAGAAGGAGCTGCAGTTTGCCCAGATTAATGTTAAAGGTCTGACCCAAGTTTGTTTTAAATGGAAATCCTTTTAGCTAAGACACTAAAGTCACAAGTGGTGATCAAGATCATCTCTTAATTCCCTCACATTCTCTTGAGAATTCACCCGTGCCTCTTTTTCTGTTAAAGTCACCTGTCTTTTATGTTCCTCCTTCTCTTTCCTCCATGTTATTTTCACCCAAAATGTGGTAGAAATATGCTAATGATTATGGGTCTGTCGTTGGAGCAGGGATGGAGAAACAAGGCAGAAAACGCTTCAGCCGAGACCAAAGAGTGTCCTTCATTTGCCCTGCCGATAGGTACGTAATGTATTAGTAGTAGTAGTAATAGTATTAGTAGCAGTAGCAACACAAATCACATTCATTATGTTTGGCTTTAAGGTAAAATCATATACCTTTTGTTTTTCAGCAGTCCAAAGTCAGAGGGATCAGAATTACGAAGGAGAAAACTGTATGTTGTTAATCATGGGAATCTATTAATAGGCACTTTGTATACAGACACACAGCACATAATTGTAAATGTATTTATTTTTATTTTAGGCTTCATGTTAAAACTCCAAACGTTTATGTGAAACCAAAGCGTGAGCAGTACATAAAGAACCCGGCCCAACAGAAGGTGCAGCAGTTCAAACGCTTCATTGAAAACTACAGACGCCATATTGTCTGCTTCCTGTTTGTGTACGGCATTACAGCTGGGGTGACTATAGAGAGATGTTACTGTGAGTAGCAATTATTTGTTAATACTATTTTTATTAGTCATTTTGAGGTTTCTTTTTTTTTTTTATATAAGACAAATAATTCAATGGTTATGTGGTCCAGTTTGGTTATGTAGATACAGAAAAGATGACACCATTGAATTATGTCTCAGTATCACATTTAAAATATACACATATATTTTTATTTTATTTGCATCTGGGAATATAAATAAACTATATAAATATGACAAAAACTTAAAGGTGCACTGTGTAACTTGCATGCATTGTTTATTGCATACTATAGAACATACATGCCAAAACAATAACCCCCCCCCTCCATTGCAGGAATCAAAAATTGCATATATTAATTTGCCTGTCAATAATCTAACGATACATAGACTATGGGATCCGTGCTGAAGCTACAGGAATGCCTGAAGTGTCTGCAGTAGGGGTCATTGTGGCTCGTGGTTCGGCAGCTGCTATCTCCTTCCTGTTTCCATACATGCTTCTCACCGTGTGCCGAAACCTCATCACCATGTGCAGAGAAACCTTCCTCAACCGCTACATCCCATTCGACGCCGCTATTGATTTTCACCGATTTATGGCAATGACTGCTATTGTCCTGTCAGGTCAGTAATAACAGTAGTATTAATTGTGTTACCACTGTGAGAGTCCAAGGACACTGTAAAGCAACATTTCACCACAACAATTCCCACAAGGAAATAGAATAAGATAATAACATATTAATATAATGTAGAAATCTAAGCACATTTAACATTATATTGTTGTACCCTCATGAGCTTCTTCACCACAGAATTACTTTTACTTGATTTGTATACACATTATCATGTATTAAATGTGAAAATCAAATGTAAGGGTGTCCAGAAGTATATAAGGTAGAACTTGAAACATGAAAATGTAAAAACTATTCAGTGAAGCAGGCTTCAGTCTGTACAGTGGGGGGCAGTAATGTTGTATATTTTCTTACAGTTGTCCACACTCTGGGACATATTATCAATATCTACGTGTTCTCCGTCAGTAATCTCAGCATCCTGTCCTGTCTTTTCCCAAGAGTCTTCAACAACAATGGGTATGTTAAAAAATTGATATAACTGTAGTAAATTCAAAACAAGTCATAGTCAAACACAACAAATTTTAGCTACTTTTAAGGGATTAGAGATAAGAATAGAAATTATATGCAAATTCTAACAATACTAAATCAATAACTAAACGTATGGATTGGCCATATTGTATTATTTCATGCAAGATATTACTAACAGTCCTGTCATGATAAATACTATATTGACTTATCGTTCAATACATAATTGATGGACAGTCATTTTTGGGGGTCAGTATTTATCGTGTGTAAAATAACCACAAATTTCCCAGTAGTGCAAATAACAGTTTATTTGCAAATTTGTGGTTATTTTTTGGATATACCATAAGATTTAAGCCTTAAAAAGTTGAATTAATAACTTCTATGATTTATTACAGATGCAAACTAACTACTATAGCGTTTAATTCTGCTATTTATTTATTGCAGCTCAAAATGTTTTAACAATATTGTAGTTCTTATGGCATAAATTTGTTTCAATATTAACATTTATTGCCTATCAGCCTTCAGCAATATTTCGCACTTCAAAATTTGTTATTGTGACAGAACCATTTTAACAAATTTATGTGTTAAAGTTTTGGTAGCTTAATTATATTGTAATGTCACCCAAATCGTCCTTTCTGTTCTTCTGTTCTTTTTTCTTTTTTTAATTACCATTTTTCTTGTAGGTCAGAACTTCCTCCCAAATGGTCATGGTGGTTTTTTGAAACAGTTCCAGGTAAAATGCAGTCATTTCAGGTCCCTTAGTCTATCGGGTCTTTTGCCACAATACTTTCATATTTGGATAGATGGATGATGTTGTAATTTCTCTTACTGTTGTTTCTTTCAAGGAATAACTGGTATTCTACTCCTCATTGTATTTTCAATCATGTATGTCTTTGCCTCACACTACTTTCGACGCATCAGTTTTCGTGGATTTTGGATTACGCATTATCTTTATGTTATTGTGTACATTCTGGTAAGTTTGCTGTTTATTACGAAACATATTCTATTACAAATCCTCAAAAGGATTTATAATTGTGTTGTTTTCGTTTCATGTTACAGACAGTGGTTCATGGCAGTTTTGCTTTGCTCCAAGAGCCACGATTCCACATCTTCCTGATCCCCCCTGCGCTGCTGTTTTTGCTGGACAAACTCATCAGTCTGAACAGGAAGAAAGTGGAGATTCCAGTAATTAGAGCTGAGCTACTGCCCTCAGGTAAAACCAAACATAACTTGTGGTTTATATTATGGTATCTTTGTAATGTTAAGTGTGCCCTATGTAACTTTTTTGGTGGAGGGTTCGTCGCTTACTTTGTCTCGATGCTGCTGCTGTGTTGCTTACAAGGCTCCACAATATGGCATTAAACATTAGTGCTGTCATGCGATTAAAAAAATTGATAGATTAATTAATTATGATCTGTAATTAATTAATCTAATTAATCTCTAATTTTAATCTCATCTAAAAATTGCTGAGAAAAGCCTTCAATTTGAGGTATTTTCATTTAAATTCATTATTACATTATTGTGGCAGATCAAAAGACTGATATAGAACAAAAAAAAGTGACTTTATAAAGTCATTTATTGTTTAACAAATCTCTCCAAATTGTCTGTTGAGCCCAAGTCTCCATGAATAAGAAACTGTTTGCTGTAAAGCAGCAAAGACTAGGAAATCTGAACATAATAACTTTTGTCTACTTAAAGACAATAAAAAGTCCAGTCTTTCCTTAACCATATTAAAAATATTATTGATAGAGAAATGCTTTATATATGAGATCACTGGTTTTAGTCCTTGTTTTAGTCCTGGTTTAGACCTGCTTTAGTCCTACTTTAGTCTTAGTTTAGTCCTGGAATGGATTAATCCTGGTTTTAGTCCTGGTGTTAGTTCTGGTTTAGTCCTGGTTTAGTCCTGGTTTAGACCTGGTTTTAGTTCTGGTTTAGTCCTGGTTTAGACCTGGTTTAGTCCTGGTTTTAGTTCTGGTTTTAGTTCTGGTTTAGTCTGGTTTTAGTCCTGGTTTAGACCTGGTTTAGTCTGGTTTAGACCTGGTTTTAGTTCTGGTTTAGTCCTGGTTTAGACCTGGTTTTAGTTCTGGTTTAGACCTGGTTTAGTTCTGGTTTAGACCTGGTTTTAGTTCTGGTTTTAGTTCTGGTTTAGTTCTGGTTTAGTCCTGGTTTAGTCCTGGACTGGATTAGTCCTGGTTTTAGTCTTGGTGTTAGTTCTGGTTTAGAGGCGCACAGGAGGAAGCGCGGTTTACGCAGCGTAGAGAGAAAACACGATCCACACGCGGCTCACGGGAGCACGTCGGTGTCCGCGCAGTGTCTACGGAAGGAAACGTGGTCCGCGCGTTCTCAGGTTAATGACGATGATGAAGGTGTGTGTTTGTGTTTGTGTGTGTTTGTTTGTGTGTGTTTGTGTGTGTTTGTGTGCGTGTCCCCTCATGTGGCAGGTCACTATAGGACAGTAGTGCAGACATCATGAGTCTATGAAGGTTGTTTTCACCAGTGACATTTAAGTTGTAGGCGATATTATATTTGTTATTTTCTTTTATATTGTACGTCGGGAGAATAATTTCCAAGACACGAATGTGTTTTTACCTGTGCACTGCTGCCTCTGTTCTACTGGCTCTTCCACCTTGTCCATTGTGCCTGACGCCGCCAACGTTACTATAACGTTTACATCGCTCTTACTGCGCGCGTTTTGTGTGGGTTTCCGGCAATGAGTGGAATTACCGAAATAAAAAAATGTATAAATGTGTTTTTGTGTGTGTGTGTTGTTGCCCCAGCAACGCATAAAAACAGATTTTATAATAAAGCAACTCGCATACAGAAACAGTAAAGTTAGAGATTAAAAATGAGATTAACGCGATTAAAAAACATAACGCGCTAAATATGACTGTAATTAATTAATCGCAATTAACGCGATAATTTGACACCCCTATTAAACATATCTACTTTCAAAGAGAAAGTTTGTTTTTCACTGTATTTTGAGCAGAAACACAACTGACTAAACGGAAAATAGACACTTGTACTCCCATACTTTGGAGGATTACAGGTAAAGCCAAAATATCTCCATAGAGTCAAGTCCACCAGAAAAGTTACGTAGTGCTTTAAAATGTCATCTTTCCTCACAGTATTACTGTATTGTGTCACTAAACAACTGCTCTTAAAGGTGCATTGTGTTTCATTTTCTGTTGGAGGATCTGTCAAATGCTTTTCTTCATGGAGATGTTATTACTTTGTCTGTCTTCATGGAGACTAAATCACAGGTCAAGTCTGTGGAGAGGCAACTGTCAGAATGCCTGCTTTTCTATGTATTTTTGAGTTATACAATCACCTGCAATTTAATAAATGTAAAGTATGTTATGTTTAATGTCATACTGTGGAAAGTTCCAAGCAGAGCAGTGACACATCCACAAAAATAAGCAGATCCCCAACTAAAAAGTTGCATAATGCACCTTTGTTCCTGTTAAAGTATTTGTTCTGCCCTTTAACAGTTTAACAGGTCCATTAATACTACACAACTAGTAGTGAGTGTCACAGCTAAACTCTTTTTTTGGCCGCCCCTCCATCAGGTGTGACACATCTAGAGTTCAAAAAGCCACAGGGCTTTGTGTACCGCTCGGGCCAGTGGGTCCGTGTGGCCTGCCTGATGCTGGGCACAGATGAGTACCACCCCTTCACTCTGACGTCAGCCCCCCACGAGGAAACCCTGAGCCTGCACATCCGCGCTGTAGGGCCATGGACCAGTCGCCTTCGGGAGATCTACACCGAGGAGAGCCTGCTGGAATTTGGAGCCTATCCAAAGGTGTGTGATATCTACATCTGTAAAAGTAATAAGTAATCATTGCATTAGTATTAAATATAATGGCTTTTTTCAAACTTTTTTTCATGCATAAGTTTTATGTAATTCTCAGCTTTACCTGGATGGACCGTTTGGTGAAGGCCATCAGGAGTGGGTGGACTTTGAGGTGTCTGTTCTGGTCGGAGGAGGAATTGGAGTCACACCATTTGCTTCAATCCTCAAAGACCTTGTTTTCAAGTCCTCCATCAAGTCCAAGTTTCTGTGTAAAAAGGTACAGATGACCACACGAGGGAATATTAAGGGACAAACATGGGGAGGGTTACCAAAGTTTATATTTAAAGTTCATATACCGTTTCTGATGGAGGGTCTGCCACCTTCTTGTCCCCATGAAGATGTTATTGCTCTCCCTGTAATGTTCTGCACTATAGCGACAAGCAGGTGATGCCATCATACAGGTCAGATCTGTGAATAGTAGAATCTGCTAAGATGTAAGAATGCATAAAGCATTTCAGGATATTTTCAAATAAATTATGTATAATGCAAGGACTGTACTGTTAGTCCAGGAGGAGGAAAACAGAGACTTTACTAGAACCAATCGAAGGAGGTAATATATTTTGAATTTAGAGGAGAGACGTTTACACTTTATAAGGCTATGACTTTATTATGAGTATTTGATGTAGTTCACTTTGTTAGGTAATAATTCAGCCTGATGCATTGTCCCAGGTGTACTTTATCTGGGTGACCCGTACTCAGCGTCAGTTTGAGTGGGTGTCGGACATCATAAGAGAGGTGGAGGAGCTGGACACTCAGGAGCTGGTCTCCGTGCACACGTACATCACTCAAGTGGCAGAGAAGTTTGACCTTCGCACAACCATGCTGGTGAGAAAAGAATGTGTTTAGTCAAGGCTGAAGCATACATGTAAAATAACATTTACAGTGAATATTAATGGAGATATATTATAGTATATACAGTAATTTTTTTTCTCAGCCCTTCTGAAAAGCCTTCCTCAGCTATAAATAGTACTACAAATAGTCTAGAGGAATTGGATATTGATCAAACCAAACTATAAAATAATGCTCATATTTATAAATAAATTCATAAATATAAATACCTTGTGTCTGTACCTTTGGACAATATTTGTGAAAATATGTGCCAGTATAAAAGCTGTTAATAGGAGTCTGATCCTAGCGCTGTTGAATTATAAAGATACATTGAGTATATGAAGATGGAACCACTCAAAGTAAACTTTTCTAACACAGTTATGACAGTTGATTCATTCTCTTTATTTTGGATTACAGTGTGCATTTCCCAATTTAAAAGGTGATACTGAATAATTATTAATTTCAATATATTAACTGAAGTAACTGCATAGCCTATTAAAAATCATAGTTTTTGAAAGGGGATTGTGTACTTCATCTATCAAAAATGCCAATATAGTTACCTCTTACAAATTAGCATGTGACCCAGTCCATAAGGATAATCCAGTGTACAAATACAAATCTTGTCTGTTGTCTATTGATGAATAATACCTCCTTGTGTGTGATGTGGGGCAGTATGTGTGTGAGCGGCACTTTCAGAAGGTGTGGAACCGCAGCCTGTTCACGGGCCTGCGCTCCGTCACCCACTTTGGACGACCTCCTTTTGTGTCCTTCTTCAGCTCCCTGCAGGAAGTTCACCCTGAGGTCAGCTCTTCATCCATCTTCATCAGCCTCAGCCCTCTGCACTCCTCCCTCTCTCTCTCTTTCTCTCACACACACACACATACACACTTACAGTATACAGGACAATACTGCTGCTAGTGCTAATTAACTGTGCTAACAAACAGTAGACCAATCATGCGGCTGCCGTTGTTTTTAAAATGAACAGAGATGCTGATTGAGGAGAGGTGCCAGTATCTCTATAATTGATAACATCGTATTTTCAATAATAATTAAAAAACAGATCTTTGAGAGATATGGTCCATTATCCAACCACATCAACTAAGCATAAATGAACAAATCTGGATTTTCACAAAAACTAAAAAAGGTGGTGACACTATATAATCCTATAAAATCAGTATATTATATTTTATATTGTGTGAGGTTCAGCAACTGTGGAATTTCTATTTGGGTATTTCTGACCAAAAATATGAATAAGAGACACTGGCCACTGGCTTCATTCATTGATAGACATCTCACTATACAACCTGATCCTAACCCATTAACTTTTCCAAAACTATTCTTCTGTACTGCTCTTAGTGAATGAACTGTGGTTTTGCTGTAGGTGGCAAAGATCGGCGTGTTCAGCTGTGGACCTCCAGGACTGACCAAAAACGTGGAAAAAGCCTGTCAGCAAATGAATAAAAGAGACCAAGCCCACTTTGTACATCACTATGAGAACTTTTAATTCATTACCACCATACAAGCACAATTACATGTATTTTTTTTGCTAATAATTAATTAATACATTATTAATTACCATCATTATTAAAATCATACACTATTTATTTGACACTGTCTTTGGTATATTGTACTTGCTTAAAATTAAATTCATAATTCAACACCTTTGGTCTTCAGTATAATATGAATGTTAATTTTAACACCGAAAATATTTAGATATTTTCATATTTATTCTAATGACTCATCTACCTAGTATTTTGGTTCCTGATTGTGTATGCAGAGTAGTACTTTAGTTTCAATAAAATTTCACCTCTCCAATTAATGTATGACCTCTCTGCTTGTGCTTCTTAGCCCATTTAATCTGTTCGAACACTGTTCTTGAGCCTAAAGGCAGAGTTTTATGTACAGTACCGTGAAGCAGAAATCCTGCTGATGCCATTTGAACAGGACTCTCCATCACTAATGATGTCAGAGGCTGCTTTTCTTTCAATAACAGCCCTGAACAAAAAGTTTTACCACCAATATGCAGTCATAAATGCAATAGTCATAAAAACAATATTTTGTATGTAGAGAAAGTTTATGAGTAAAACACGTTTATTAAAGGTTATTTTATTTAGCAGTATATAGGTCTTCAATCCACCTGCTTAGCTGTTTTGTTATTGGTGGTTTTCAGAATCTATAATGTGATGCTATGGTTTAAGTTATGACTATGCTTAGACAGGATGTTGAACATATATGGAGATATGACTAAAATATTATATATGCCACTCATATTATAAATAATGATCTATATTATATTAACTTATGTTTAACTTATTTATTTTGTTAGTTTTTCATTTAAAAAAAAATCATGATTACGACCATGACGTTGCAATTGCTACCTTATTGGTGACCTTTGACCCACTGAACCGCTCTGAGGACTTCTGTTTACCAAAAATCGATGATCGAAAGAGGAAGACCACCAAGTAAATAGAAATCTGTTAAGTTTATAAACTATTCAAGCTAAAACTGCAGTGCACAAATTACCCTGGGTTGTGTTTACGCTTTGATTAGACGTGCGGTCAGATGTGCGCTTTGCTAACAAATGATAACTACGATCCCATCTCAACAGCTAGTAAATAATTGTTGGCGCATGTGTAATTAATATTAGCTTGAAACAGCGCCCCCTTTTGCTCCAATCCCGATCATAATCATCTTTGTGCCCTGTGTGCTCACCATGTGCTCAGAGGTCACACCTGTCCGTGCTCCATTACTTCTTTATAGACTCCACCACAGTACATTAAGTTCCCCTTTAAATGCCCTTGTTGGCTCCTATTATATGTTAATGTTTCTCCTTAGCGCGGTGCTGACAGATACACACACCAGGTCACTGCCAGCAGCAAAATTGTTTAAATCAGTGGACCTTTCTTTCCATGAAAATACCTTGCTCAAAAGCACAATGTCTTATTTACATTATACTAGTACTAGTAGTTTATTGCCTTAAAAATGTGATTACGATAAAAGATGTTGGCTCAACGCTACATGACTTGAAGATACAGTATAGTTTGCTGGTTTAAAAAAAGGAAGCCACTAGCAACTGAGCCTGGGTTGCCAGTGCCTTAATCTGAATTTAGAGAACCTAGACTACAGACCCAGAATTCCCTCCCTGAGCTGCAGAGGCTGCACTAGCACTGATTCATGATTGGCTGCAGGTGCCGCAGTAGTGAGGATTCAGATCAGATGCTTTTGGGGCTCAAACCAACTGGATTTGAGCACTGAGACTGGACAAATAAGAGAGTGGATAATTGATTTGAGAACCAGAAACACCAAATTATAGCAAAAACAACTTGGCCATTTTGTCCATAAAAAACAAAAATGACAAAAATGACATACCTTTATGGTGACATACTTGTGTAGTACTGAACCATTTCACTCTTAATAAGACTTTGAGGCACCTATAGCCAAGAGCCAGCTCAAAATCGCATATTTTAAATTTGACATACAAAAACATACTAACTTTATATTGTTAATAAATGTTGTCTTGTTTGCTTTTCTGCACATAGGATGCTGAGAATGTTTATTAGATTGATCTGGTATGCAAGTAAACACTAAACCATTTCCAGGTAATTTTAGTTAAAAAATATAATGTTGATTGATAATTTAGATAAAACAAATGACACTATAGGGTTTCATAGTGTAAAATATGTCTGGTTTTTCTGCGCGGTGGAACCGTTTGCATTGGTGCTCTTAAGAGTCTGCTAATCTTCTTAGTCTCATAAGTACCCTGCTCCAAACCCGCCACTGTCCAGATTGCCTCTTCCTGCCCCAGTTAAGCGTCTCAACAGACAAACAACAACAAAGCCAGACTCGAGGAAAGAAAATGTGGCATGGTGCCTCCTGCGGCCCGCTAAAATATGCACCTAGCTTCATTTGGGACCAGCGTTGACCGAGCGTTGGAAGAAGTTCTCGTGGGCGTCCTCAACGGCAAAATGTTTGGCAGTGGAAGTAAGAAGTGGTTTGTGAAGAAGCAAAGGAGACAGCAGCACTTGTGTGGAAAACGACCCTACTCTAGAAAGAAGAAAAGATGGGCTGTGAAGATCTTGAAACAAAACCGGCAGAAGATTTTAAACGAACTGGATGTAAACACCGTCCTGCCATATCTAGTCTATGAGAAGGTCTTTTCTTTAGGGGAATATAAGGAGATACTGTCTCAGGACACCAGACAAAAGAGGACAGAGATGTTCCTGGATTGCCTGTCCGCGAAAGGTCCTGCTGCGTTCTGCTCCTTCTGCTCTGTCCTGGAGGAAGTGCATCCTCACCTGCTCACCTGCTTCCTACTGGATGGACAAGGTAACGCCACCCATTAGCTCCCTATTACATAAACTATCACAAAGGTCAAAAGGCCTCGCCCTCTTTGGAAAACATTGTGTGTTGATCAGCTGAAGCTATACTCTTGCGCTCAATATTTTACCTGTGGGAGGTTGTGTTTACTTTTCCAAGGGATATAAAGCTATAAAAAAAAAAAAAAAAAAAAACAATAAAAAAGGTAGACTTCTTTGTAAGTAAGCTGGCGCCACAGACTAAAGCCTGCAAAAATAGCTTCTTAAATCAGGATGGCTGAGGGGATTAGTGATCCGCCAGCCAGCGCGCCTAACTAGCCACTGACAACATATGGCCCAAAACAAGACTGCTGTTCCAGAGCAGGGGGACTCAAATATGGGGAGGGGTACTGCTAGTGGTACGCAGACTTAACTGGTTAATTACAAATAGACCACTGTTGTTTAGTATGTTCATTTAGGCAAATACTCGAGGGAATACTTGGTTCGTATACTTGGCATAGTAAAGGTGGTCCTGGTTTAGTTCTTATGTAGACCTGGTAAATTTGATGTAATCCCAATTCCAGTAGGGCAGTGCTATTACTAAACTGAGATTGAAATTCAGTCATTTCTAATTGTCAGTGATATACTTGATATGCCGTTTTATTTGAGAGGTCTCCAGTCAGTCCTCTGTCAGGGAAAGCATGTGTCTATGAGCAGAGTTTGGACTTTTTGTGTTAAATGTCCATGATTACTGTGTTTATATTCAGGAAATTGATAGTGAAAGCCAATTAAAGTATTATTACTTACACAAAATAAATATGAGGGGGAAAAAGTTGTACATTTTTGTAATATCACCAACGTTTTTTAAGATGGATTTTCAGGTTATGGTAGTTTAAACTTGGTTTAGTTTCTCATTATGAGTTTATTTAGTTCTAGTATTTGCTTTTGTTATAGTTTTTGTTACAGTCCAGATTTTGGGCATTGTTTGAGCACTTGTACCCATACTTACTGTAGCCCTAGTTCCAAATAATACATTTGACTTTAGTCCAGATTTTGTCCAATGTCGGTGTAGCCTACATTCAGATCATCTAATTTTAGATACTTGGAAAGCCAAATATTTTCTCAGGTGGTGCAAAAAGTTTTAGTTATTTTAGATCAATATGTGCCTTAAAAAAATGCATCAAACTTCTTGGAGTCCTCTTGTGGTTTTGCCCAGTCAGCAGGATGCATGTAAATGAACAGAATGTATAAATATGAATCTGGTCTTGCAGATGGTGTCCTGGGACGAGCCAAGAAAGGGGGGCTTCCTGTTCCCCTCAACAACCAAGTGGAGCAGCCCGTGTGCTTTCCTCCCCTGTACACCGACCCCCTGTTTGACTCAAGGTAACTAACCCATTACCTGCAGCCTTCAGTATGGTGATGTTGCACTCAAGGTTTAAGAAGCTGTTGTGTTTGAACCATGGCCACAGCTCACACAGTTTAAATGGTGGTATGCAGTAACATTTTGTGAAGATGGATTATTTATATACTTGTTGTGATTCATAGTTGCAACATTATGTAATGGTAGAAAATGTTATCCTCTGTGCAGTTTTTGAGATTTCTGTGCAATAGTGAAACCACAAGTCTTTGCAAGTGTGTGAGGGCATCTAAAGAGAAAATCAATATAATTATTCTAATGTAATTAAAGATAACTAGCCTAACCTTTACTCCTGCATGATTTCCAATACCACCCCAGCAGCAGGCACATTGACCATATGCTCATAAAACATTTAAGGTGTTTGCAAGCAAAAAAATATAGCATCCATTTTGGGCACATGGATACACTTGATAGTGGTTACAATCTGCTATTACATTATTAGGCTTTGAAAAGGGGGCTTAGTTAAATATACAGGTAGAAATTGAAATGCAAAATCATGTATATTAAAAGCTTTACATTATTATTAGGAATTAGTAGTCTCCTTTTTGTCTTTGACTTTCCACCTTTCAAATAAATATATGTTTTAGGTAAATTGGAAGTTGCCTCAGAAAATAAATTGTTTTTTAATGTGCCTCTCTACCCATCAATCATTGTTTTTGGTATAACCTTGAGTTACCAAGAATCCTTATAAGCAGAACAAATGAATGAAGTGAAAACATAATCTGATCAAGCACAGCTCTGACTAATGTAGTGGTACAATGGACTGCATTAAAGTGCAGTTAGTGCAGTTTTGTTG